AGTGAGTATATTCTAGCAAACTCACTCACTAATGTTGTTGTACATGTTTCGTTGCTTCCAACTAATATCAAAATTATTATCTCTTCTCTAATTGTACCATCGTCAGACATTCTCTTCCGAACAGCATAGTGAATGTTGTCAATTTGACTTGGCTTTATATCAGTAATCTCTGAAAAAGGAATAACCCATTTATTTTCTAGGCAGGATCGAATCAAGTTGCAAATTGCTGGATTTTGGATATCCTTAACAGCTTCTGACATAGTTTCGAATAAAAAAGGGGTTCAAATAACAATTTAGAAAGAGGATTTACATATTGAAAAATTTTTCTGATTGTTGTACAGACATTTTCTTCTAACTACTACTTAAAATTTGTAAACCCACAATTTAGTCAAATACTTTGATACAATCGCCGTAAGATGGATTTATAGTCTCAAAACACAGCGTATTAATATAACATTAACTATAATTTGCTATTATTATATTGAATAAAAAGAACTTACTGATAGTGATTGGATGTTATACACGTATTATTTATTAAGGGAAAATAGTAAAATTGAAGAAATTAACGTAAATTCTTGTGAATAAGAGCCTCTCATATGAAAAAAAGCCTACCGTGAATAAAGGCCGTCATGTTATGAAATAGTTGGGTTCTTCACCCCTCTCATTACCCACTAGTTTTTATATAGCATTGCAAGTGTGTGATACGGCATAAGTTATTCTTGTAGTAAACTACAGTCACACATCTTTATACCGATACTAATACAAGTGGCACCTGGCTGTTTTTATCGGTATAACTATCGCGAGGAACTTTTATTTTATCGGTATAACAAATTAAATAATAATCGTATCTATTTTGAAATGAAAATCTTTATTTCATCACATACTTATGAGTTAACTGGTGCTTATAAAACTATCCATTGTTAATCGTTTCTTCTTTGACGAATGATAATCCCACAATTGACTCTGCACTTTACGCAGTTCTGATATCATTTTAATATCAAAAGCAAAATCCTCGGGAGGGATTTACCAGAAATTCTATTGCGCTACTAACACCCCTAATGCTTCTTTAACTGATACGGCAGGTCGAGTTATTCCCTCTTCGAGTTCCTCTTCAGAGGACATACCACTGCTACAATTTCTTCTGACGTGCCGTCAGTGAGCCTTTTTGTGTTTTTTTTTTTGTGGGTTTGATGTAATATTATGAGTATATGCTAGTTACAATAACTGAGATAATAATAAGTTGATTGGTCAATTTTGGTGTTGCACAAGAATATCGGTATATCTAACAAAGAGATTTATCGGTATAAGCAGTAGGACTGGTTCGGGTAGCGAACTTTATAGGTATAAAGAGGTTTGACTGTAGTGATTGTAAAATTCACACATTATTTATAAATGGTTGACTTGCTAACTACTTTCCGTTAAAATTATGCCACTCATCAACTTTTTTATGAAGAGCAATAATCCCCGATAATGTTTTATTTCTTGTTATGTACCCGGATATATTACATCTTTGTACAATGGTAAACGAAAGTGTTTTATGTGTGCTTGAGTTAATTTATACAGGCGGTTTTCGATGTTAGGTTCAGCGTTTCGCGGAGCATCATCGACAGTAATGGCTTGGCTTATAATACAAATATAATGAGTATAACAATAGTCACAACACACCAATTGCCACACGTTCGATTACCATCAATGTAGTAGGAAAATGTCCATGAACGCCCTCATCGTGGTGTGTACCCGTTGGACAATAATGTCCACTCGTTGTATTTGTTGTCCCTGCCCCGTCTTCTTTTTTTTCCTCCTTCCTCCTTTCCTTTTTTCCTCCTTCCTCCTTTCCTTTTTTCTTCCTCTTTTCCTTTTTTCCTCCCCCTTTCCTTTTTTCCTCCCCCTTCCCCACTACCACTGCTCCCCCCGCCATTCCCTATTTTTACCGCGCTTCTAGACAAGACTAATATGTATAAGTAAAAGTATCAAGATAATAAATAAATTTAATATTCGGCAGCTTATTTTCATTATAGTACAAGTAGTTGCCGTCGATACCTGACATGACACTCGAAACGCTCTTTTTATAATTAGCTGGTCGTATTGTGCTGTGAAATATAGGCAGACAAGGAATCAAAACCGAGATTATCTTGGTTTGACGTTAGCCAATTTTTAGCCGATCATAATCAGAACCAAGCCCATGGTTTAAATAGGGTGTGTAACCGCCAGATATGCATAACGATAACCATTTGCTAAATTAGACCTTTGTACACCTCAAAATCATTCAACAGAAAGTTCTCCCCGGCCGATTTACGTATGACCGATTATTGTATAGTTCTTCTAATAATAACTCAAAATTTTTTGGGGATGAGGTATCAGGCATACAGTGGAGAGATTTAACCCAGAATAGCTTGGCATTCTGCACTAAACGATATAACCCCACAACTGCACGCCATCACAAATATTATGCAATGTTTGTATGTTAACGAACAATGAAGGATGCTAAAAAACTATTTCTAATAGTAATAGTGACTTGGCTATAATAGGAACATAAGGTTCCATATTGAAAGCTAGTCGTCATCTCACGTATTAAGTAAGCTTTTATAGATTTCAGCCTAAGAAAATTAAAAACTGCTTTCATCTTTTAGTCTCGTCAAGGGATAGCATCACAAACAGACAATGATGTTGACTAATCGTTGATAATCTTTAGTGATGGCAATCCATGATGGGCTGTCACAGAACAGACAAAGAACGACTATGGGGTAAATTACATCATTAAGTCTCATCACATAACAATATGTTCGCTATAATGACTCTGCCACTACAGTGCAACATGTCAAAGTACAGTTACTGCTCCATGAGTCTCGGCGGTGTGTCGTTATTATCAACATGTTTCTAGGTAGAAGTCTGTCTTATTTGATGTTTAATATACTATTTAACCGTAAGATAAGCTGTCTGATGTATTTACGATAGATAGCATTTCCGATTAATACAGGCAGTATGGGTTATTTAGGTTATTTACATCATTGATAAACTTGCACCACATTTTATCACCATAATTAAGCAATCTCCTATGCTGACTACGAGTATGTATTGTCATTTTTTTCCATTGTACGTATTTCTCTTTTAATAAGTACATTCCTTTATTTAAGAAGATTCCAGATGTAAAACATTTAGTGTGGTATGGTCCGCCTTATTGATGATAAACATATGTTTTGACCGAAGGATATTAGCTAACATGGCTTCCGCTTCAATAAAGAATGCCGAGGTTTGTGTCAAAATTGCTATTGGAATAAGGGCTATTATCGGAAACTGTGTTAGAAAGCGCTTTGCTTTCTTCTTGTCTTCCATTGGAGCTATATATCGATTAAGGAATTCGATATAGAGTAATCGGTAAAAATACTTTTTCTTTATATGATGTTCGCAATGCCGCATGTTCTGTAGTGATATGCACCATGATATTAAGACGATAATTTATTTCGGTTATTGAGGAATATCAAATGAATTCAACTTCATGTAGTCACTGATACTACAACAGCACAGCAATGTCCGAAGCTATGAGAAAAGCCAACTCTTGGGGACGATGTGTTCGAGGCAATAAATACGCTTGTCGCAAACGAAGTCATAGAACAAAGATAACAACCAGAGCTGCTATTCAATGAAGGAAGACATGAATTCGAGAAATTCATTACAGATTTCACAGGATACGAGTCGGCCGTGTTTCGTTGCTTCTGGGATTAAATTATACGACTTTTCTTGCATTATCAAAACTCAATAACTCCCATGCTTGTATTTGCGATTAAATAAAGACATAACAAATGAAGTTATCCATCATCTTACATTAATAATATAGGGTAATCAACTCGCTTTTACGCACTCATCTAACTCAACCTCCATGTTCTGTTTACAACCTAGACTTGTGGATTATACATCATCCTAGTGCACATGTTATTTATCGTCAAAACCTATTCACATAGCATGCAAAAAATGTCATGAATAACATTATCATCTCCAACGACGTACACTATATGCACCAACACGCGCTGTGACGCTTGAGAATACATTGAATAGAATGTTATTTCTGCTATCCGAGATTGCAAATATCTCCTTTATAGTATAGTAATATAAAAATGCATATTGACAGATGCAGAGACCGGAGATAATATCAAGTTTGTTGCTCTTTAAAGTACGCTTGTGGGCAATAAAGACTTTGTAAGGTATTTGGTGGCGGGTAGGTTGATCGATTGCGAAGATATTGGTCTTTATTCAACGTTGCGGTATATAGTCACTATGGCAATAATGACAATAACGTAAACTATTAGTTATCAGTTTTCTACCGGATTAATCTGACATCAGATATTTACAGTTTCGCTAACGCTCACGTATAATCTGTTGCAGTTGGCGACAATCAGGACCAATAAGGTAGCAGCCGATTATCCAACCCACCAGGTTATAAGACAATAACAAATTATCGGATCATAAATGTAACGAATAGAGAATTCGTGCTATAATTATTCTACTTTACGCAGCAAACTATTTTCTGGTGTCAAGTTATATTCGAGATGTGAGAATACAGTTCTGTAGTAACATTGTCTGCTAACATCAGGTCATGTATTTATTTAGACATCAATAGTCAACAGTGGACAGAACATCTTAATATCATAATTTACGATTGTAACAGTTAGCCACTATTTAAGCATGCCATCGTGGTCATCATAAAAATCGTTTATAACTAATTGTTAGTTAAAGGATTGTACTGAAATTTCACCGTCAATAAAAATAATTCATCATGCCGCCAAAAAGTAAGACAACTTTGACAGATTCGCAAAATACGAACTTTGCCTGTATGCTCGCGATAATAAGAAATCTCGTGCGGAGTATGTTAATTGGATTGAAAATAAATGTTAATGAGTCTACCATAACACGAATTTTGCAACCAGTTACTTTCTGAAGAAATCATTGCTCCAAATGCAAAAAGACACATATCGGTTACATACCCAGAACTCGAACAAGCACCGAAACAGCAGCTATCAGTGCCAGTACGGCATTACAAGGCTTGGAAACTGTACAAGCATTTTTACTACAAGAAAATGCAAATGAGCACATAAAAATGACAAATATTCTCGAGAAATATATTAGAGAGAGAAAAGCATAGAACCAATAAATGAAGTATCGGAATCACGTGAATTTACATATACTCATGCACGCTCTCACACTTCACTGTGACACGGGTGATCGATAAAAATCGGCATAGAAAAAAAACGTCTTTAACATTGCACACACGAATATGGATAACTTTGTTGATTTGTCCTCGAGCCTTTCATCAGACTATGAGAAGCTTTACGAACATGGCAAATATACAGATATTTCAATCAACGTTGGAAAAGAGCCAAATACCAAAATATTTCTTGCCCATACGTTGGTCTTATGTACGAGAAGCAAATTTCTTGAGAATAGCATAACCGGGAATACAGAGATTCAAAACGCAGCTATAACATTTGAAGATGTAACTCCTGACGTTTTCGAAATATTGCTCAGGTAAAATTTCATATTATTAATCAAAGAGATGTAAGTTGTATGCACAACGTCGACGCTAGTATTCAGGTATTCATTTTTGAACTTGACGTTTCATCGCATCGTAGATATATTTACACTGGGCGATTGTCCTATAATGCATGCAAGATTGTGGGTTGGATCAACCTTTTAGATGGAGCTAGCAAGTTTGAACTATTTGATCTCCTTACTGGAATTGAAACTTGTTTGATTGATAAACAAAAGGATTGGATTCAACAGAATATTCTCACAATTCATAAATATGCTGCATCCACAGTCACTTTGAACAAACTTCTGGCCTACTGTAATCGAATCATGGTTTCCCACCCGGATATTATCTTCAAGTCGAATGATCTTGCAACTTTACCAAAGGAGATTTTGATCACTCTCCTCAAAAGTGATGAACTGAGCATGGATGAAGATGATATTTGGGTGTCAGTCATCCAATGGGCTACTAAACAAGTGCCTGGACTAGAACTTGGAAATGATTCAGATGATTGGTCATCCAATGACATTAACACCATCAAGGATATCATAGCAGATTGTATACCTCATATAAGGTTTTTCAACATCTCCCCCGACAAGGTTGCTCAATATTATTATTTATTACCAACAAAGTTGTGTCGTGATTTACTCAATTATAAAATGGATAAAAGCTACAAACCAAACACTCATGTGTTATCAACAAGAATGGGACAGATTGATTCAGTTATCATTGACAAAAAACAAGCAGAATGGATCTCATCAAAGATTGTGGAATCAACAAGACAACTTCAAGAGAATCATAGGAAGTATGGAATTCATAGATTTACCCTACTTTATAGACGAAGTAGAGATGGTGATACATTTGCAAAATTTAGAGAGCTGTGTAATAACAAAGGACCCACAATTGCTGTTGGGAAAGTGTTGGATACTGGAGAAATACTTGGTGGATATAACCCATTTGCATGGGGTTCCCAAAATGAGTATGCTGATACTAAAGAGAGTTTTATATTTGCATTAGACAAAAACATGGATAAGAATATAGTAAGTTTTGTTGGTAATCATAGTTCACATGCCATTTATGATAATAATGCTTTCCCTGCTTTTGGGAATGGGGCCATGGATTTATATTTTGGAGGCAAATATAAGCCCCTTGCTCAGAAATGTACATATAAAGTTCCAATAAGAAAGTCAGTAGATCGTTTTGAATGGGTAGATTGGGAGGTATTTTCAGTTCAATATTGATTTAATCTGGTAATCTTGTTTTATCAATTATTTATATGTATATGTGGTTCACCATTGCTTATGCATTGTACTTAGGGTTAATGTACTATATGGGGACTGATCTATGAAAATGGGTAGTTGGTGATTTGGGGTACAAATTTAGTTTCTGTGCGGGATATATACTTGGGTATGCTATCTATCCTGTGACTTTTCCTGACCTCAAGTGTAATAGTTTTTCGCAGTTAGAAGTTCGGTAGCACAACAAAGAAGGTCTCAAATCTGTACCCTAAAATCCTTGCCAATCATCATAACAAATGCTTAGATTTTGGGGTGATATGTAAAATGGGGATAATTACCATCAAAACGGCCCAATTTCTTTGAAGATGATTTTCTGACGATCAGCTATTTTTATGAATGCATCATTTTCATAGATCACGCCCCATTTATTGTGGGAGCTGATGCTGAAATCCGGCTGAAGCTGAAACTAACCAATGGGGTTAGAGAATAAAATCTGCCGTGACATTTATTTACCTGCCAGGTCGCACAACCCGACACGTCGTACAGTCCATAGTATTCCTATTTATGGAGTGGGCATCTGAGCGTCCAATGAAAGGATAATATTTGAGCCTGTACGACCTGGAAGGTTGTGTGTTATCTTTAATATTTGCTGCGCCGAGCAATGAATAGTAATATGGCACTCATGAATTAACGGTTCTAGATTTACACTTTCCTGCCGTCAATTACTGACAATGGCATATTATTCTCCAACATCTATCTCTCCAACGTCTATCTCTTCAACGTCTACCTCTCCAACGCCCACCTGTGTTACTTTCGCTAATGTCACATTTGATATCCACAACTTGGTCAATGTTACTTTCTGCAGCCTCTGGGTGTGCTTGACTGGGTGTGAATTTGATTTGGGGTTTATCGCAAGGCCGACGTGGATATTTCTGACGACGGCATATGGAAGACCGTTTATAGTCCTCATATGCATAATTCTTGTTATTCTCTATTTATATGTAGCATTTGCTCATTACCCCAAATACAGATATAACAGACATTTTACCCGTCGCAATGCTAGGACTACCTCGTCAGATACCTCTATCCTCACCTCTCGGAATCTAATAATATATGTTCTGGTATTTCCATTCGCGATGGTATACATATCGCTGAGAATTGCGTGGGATCTGTACAAACTATGTGTATTCTATTCACTGGACATGATGGAATTTGCGTTAAAGCTTTCGATTCGTGCTATCAAATCAGTTCCCCGTGGACTTAGCGTGCTTTGGCGAGATTATTTGTGGATTGCAATAAAGTATATCGTACTTGGCATCTGGGATATCGTACTTGGCATCTGGCATATCATCTGGCTAATTGCACGGACATTGGCGGTAACGAGTTGTAAACTATTGGAATTCGGATACGACATCAGTTGCAAAACGTGTGCATATTTATGGAACGCGATTAAAAGATTCAGCGTGTTTGTTTGGAACGGCGCAAGGCGATTGCTTTTTGTTGTATTTATTAAACCAACAATCTGGTCCATCGAGCGTGCAGTATATTTATCTCGTATAGGATACCATGTTGCATGCTTTATTATACGCGATATGTTGGAAGATGTACGTGATATGATTTTCTTGGGCTGCGATTCAGTTCGATGGATTTGGCATCACACGGTTATTCGAATTTGCAATTTCGTTCATTATGCAAGCGTCTATCTCTGGGAGACTGTGCGAATGTATGGGCCTATAATCCGAGCGTATTTGTACAAGCGTGTGGTTACCGATGGAAAAAGAGAACTTACTTGGATTGTGAGCGAAATATTGAGGGACCCAATCCTTAGATGTGTTGTTGCTACAATTGTCAATGTGAAATGTTTTTTGATTTTGATGAAACAATGCATATCTCAAGTCCTATACTATATAATACAACGCATATCTGAAGGCCTATACTTTATGAAACAACTCATATCTCAATGCCTATGCTATATAATACAGCGCATATCTGAGGGTCTATACTTTATGAAACAACTCATATCTCAATGCCTATACTATATAATACAACGCGTATCTGAAGGCCTATACTTTATGAAACAACTCATATCTCAATGCCTATACTATATAGTACAACGCATATCTGAGGGTCTATACTTTATGAAACAACTCATATCTCAATGCCTATACTATATAATACAACGCATATCTGAGGGTCTATACTTTATGAAACAACTCATATCTCAATGCCTATACTCTATGGCGATTTTGATGAAACAACTCATGTCTCAAGTCCTACACCATTTGACGATTTTGATGAAACACATGTTTCAAGGCCTATACTCTATGACGATTTGGATGACACAACGCATTTCTCGAGGCCTATTCTTTATAACGATTTTGTTGAAAAAACACATGACTCGAAGCCTATACACTATGATCTCTTCTCTCTCTGCACTATCTGTCGACTTGTATGTGTCTGGTTTATGGTTATATCACGAAGTTTTGGCTCTAATGCAAGCAACTTTGACCTTGATGCTAGAAATCACCTACACGGTGTATACGGGAATAGCGGCTTTTTGCGAATGGACATATTTGGTTATAAAGAGTATAATTGCAGTCATTTTTAACAAAGTTTTGGCTCCTCTAATGCAAATTATTCTGGCAACTTTGACCTTGATGCTAGAAATCACCTACACTATGTATACGGGAATAGCGGCTTTTGGCGAATGGACATATTTGGTTACAAAGAGTATAATTGCAGTCATTTTTAAAGTGCTATGGATAATATTGTTTAAACCCATTTATACACTTTTAGTATTGGTTTATACGGGATTGGTCACAGTCTTTTTAGGATTATATAAATTGGGTACAGTGATATTATCTCAATCGATGGCATTAATCCTATATTCTTGGAGTCTTATCCAAGATTTATTCATATTATTGTATAATATTCTGTCATCTCTCTTCATTGCTATTTCTGAACTGTTCATTAGCATCTATAATGTTATCTATGATGGAATGGTTCTCATGAGTGAGGTGGTGATTGGAACAATCACATTTGTGAGTGGTATCATATATGCCCCGTGTATATGGTTGGCACAGTTTGTTAATGAGTTATATGGTACATGTCAGGCTGTTGTGGTGGATACAGTGGCTGCTGTCTCTGGGGCGATTGATAATACTGTTGTTGCTGTCGGCGACGCTATGATGGAGTGGGTTAAGACGGAACAAGCGGTGAGAGAAGCGATACGAGGTAGTACATCATAACGAAGTGTGTAATATGGAGAAGAGGTGGGGAAAGAATATGGAAGAGAAATGATAATGAAATTTTAGAAGAGGGTCGTTAATTTACTGTAAATATTGTCGATAACTCACATAATAATAACAAATGTATAAACGGTTATTTGGAATATGTTTGCACATATATAACAATTATATGAATAAAGTTGATTCTATCATGAAATGTCCATAGCATCTCCCTAAATGATTCGCTGAGAATAGCTGCAAGTAAAATAAATAATGCAGGTTACGATCTAGTCATACTTTCAATGATTGAATAATATTTTATTACACTCACCCGTCGTTCCAGGTTTAAACTTGTAACTTTCGACTTTTGGTATGTTTGGATCCTGAACCCATATTATTAAATATACCATCCTTTATAGCATCCTTGACCAATTCTATAGCTTCACGACAAATGGACTTAGTCGGCGAAAATAACATAGCAAACCAAAAAAATTTAGCGAGAAATATTACCTCCATATTTTCTTGCCATTGTGATTCAAAAATAGATATAGCAGCTAGGGATCTACAGCCTTGACAGAGATAAGGCAATTTATCGGTACTGCCATGTGGAGAGACACTAAACAGATGCCTAAAACTAAGGTGACCTTGATATCTATTTTATAAAGATTAAGGCGTTCAACTCCAATTAACAGCATGAGTACCTCAATGTTTGTTTGGTGATGAACATTAGTACCTGAATAAAAACTGCGCAAGCGCAGTCAAGGCAGTTGCTACTCTTGATTCTCTTCCACTAATTGAGAAGCAATTTAGGCAATCAAGTATGGTTACAGTCCCCTACAAAAATTTACGAATTATACCATGAAATCGTGCAATGTGTAAACGTAAAATTTTATTTGTTTGCCACATGTTTAGTACATTTTATAGACATTTTTACCTTCATTTACTAACAAAAATCGTCAAAGTCAGCGAAAGAGTTTCACCGATTTTATCGTGGAATTTCAATTGACAAAAGCGCAAAACCACATTGTTAACAGGAAAAGTTATTCAGAATAATTTAAAATATATAATTACAAAGTTTTATAAATCTCCGTTAAAAATGTGAAATATTACACAAACAGCTGTACTACCAATACACGAAACGCGAACTAAGCTCCTTTGCATTTACTTGACAGACTGATTTTGCAATAGTGATCCTTGAGCATGAAATGTCCTTCAAGACGGTAGTCCACGAATTAAAGAACGGGAGCAAACGCGCTTTATTAGGATGTGGCAGCATGCAATTGCGTCGATGTGTGGGTGCAATTGCATTGTTGTATGTGGTGACGATAGCATTGTCGTTAGCAGCGGCTGTTGTAGTCTGGGCCGGAAGAATATCAACTAATGTTAATATGCTGCGGACTATCCATCCGGTTGCTAAATGTTGTAAGCAGAAGTTAGAATCAGTATCTGATGCTATTTATTAGTGGTCACCAACAAATCAGTGAGAAGTAGTAAAATGTTATACTTGCTAACTCTGGTTCTTTCCAATATCATTATTCTTATGACTGTCGCTTCGATATTTCCGCTTATATTTATTACATCAAAACAGACTTCTCTCATCGTAACAATATCACTTTAACTGATAAAATTAAATTACCACCACCATCTCCTTCAACTCCCCATCAACGTGCGAACACTGATGCCCTAGTATCGGTCTTTGCTCGCTCTAATTTAAGAGGTATTCTCATAAAAGCATTTGCGTGTGCATGATCAAACCCATTTGTTTACTGACAATAGCAAAATGGCTTCTAGTTTACGATCAGAACTTACACTTTTTGAACGTGGAGAAATAATTGGTGCTTGGAAATGTGGGCTAAGTGAACCAGTAATTGCGGCACATCTAAATAGAGTTCCAGTGGCATATCCTGCCAAGATCCTGCTCGAGAACAGGAAGACCTAAAAAGATTACGGCAAGAGATAGTCGGTCGATAAAGAGACGTTGGCTGGCAGTTATTTCTCCTCCATTCATTGCTTTCAACTGGGCCATTAAAAATATATCTTGTTCGGATCTAGAGACGCTTCACGTAATTCAGCAAAATTCTCTCTCGGTGAGCAACCGCAATTGCAACCTATCTCCAAGAAACGCATGGCTTTTTCATATTCAGTCGAACCATTATATAATTTTCCATATACGGGTATTCCTATACAGTCAACTCTGGCTATACCGGCGCGAGTGGTTTGGCAGGTATATTTACTTTTCCTTTGTGGATTTATCTGCTTAGAAATATTTAGGATTTTGATTATATCTACTTTTTTTTTGTTTGATTGTTGCAATATAGGAAGAGATCAAAACTGTATCATTGCAAAACGTAGCAGAAGATCATCGAAGAGGATAGCATATAGCTGCTCGTAGGACATGGTATTGAAATCGCATAACTCGTTTGTACGTATATACAATTATAATACATATAAATCATGAAATCTCCCTTCGGATTATTATCTTCAGATTATATCCAATAATTACCAAAGCTAGAAGATTAATGTATGAAGCATGAATGAGGATGTTCCCAATCGGCACCACATACGTGCTTCAGAAAAGTATTTGTTGTAAGCAACATGTCTGCAGTATGCAGCAACTGAGCTTGCATTAGTGGAATCTCATCTCATGTCATTCCGTTTGTTGAAGAACTGTAAAATAAGTCAAACATTTACCACGTATACACATATGACGAAAGTGGAGAGCTCATCCAAGTTGGCATCACTAGACATGATTTCATTGCAGTTTACGTTTATCACCCAATCTTCAATCTGACGGTTAGGAGATTTTGAGTTTACTTATAATTGTTTTTGATTTTTCGTTCGTTTGACATCCTTTAACAGCTCAACGACCAAGAATCTTATACACGTAAAACTTACATATTTAAATATTAGTCTCATCAGCGTGCGTGTAAAAAATCGATGTAGAATTTTACGGTTCGATTTTCGTTTATACGATATATCATGAGGCGCCTACGTTTTGTGCTAGCACGATATTATGGATCCGATGGACGAAATTTTTGCACAAATGGCTCTGCGACCCGGCGTTATTTATAAATATTAATACATAATTAAAACTTTATGCTCGTTTACATAATACAGTAACTCTTTATGCTTACTTTTCTTGGCCGTAGTGAATTTACATCGTTCAACTTTCGTAGATTATAGACGCTCTTCTTCTCTTTTAGCCCACGAGGTTTTCTCAACGACGATATTGGACAGAAACATTAATTTCATCCAAGAAATCGAACAATAAAGATGTGACATTGGTAATTTAAAATTGTCGTAGCTGATGCTGAGGTTGAAATTAACCAATGGGGTTAGAGAATAGAGCCGAGTAATAGTGTTAAGTATTAGTTACAATTCAAATTAAATAGACGCGTTTCGTGTAACAATAATAGACGTATCAGTTTACCTGGTGTTACTATATCCGATCTAATACTAACACTCAATCGCTCTAAACTGATATTGGGGCCAATGGAGAGTAAACGTGCTTCTACGAAGAAACATAAGCATCAAACCAATGATCACAAATCAAAGACTCATTCACCGCCCTCTTCACCATATCGATCAAAGAAGAGATTGCGAACTGTATTACCTACATTCAAAAGAGCATGGATACGTACTCTAAATTCGTCTGTAAATTGTCTTGCGGTAGGTGCACCATCGGACGATACACAAACGGACAAGAAAGGTTTGATGGTGTCAGTCGCTGTCGGTATTGAATCAGGAAAAGTGATTATTTTTAACGAAGGAAAGGTAAGTTGAACACATACATTTGGATTTACGTAAGAGCTTGCACGTAAATAATTCGATCGTTAGTTTGGTTGATTCTGCGTAGTTGATGCAAAAAAGTTATCGTATCCGACCAGGAAGATGTCATAATAGAGACTAAAGGTGGATCCATCCAATCGATGTTGTTATTCGACGTAACTCGGTTTGAATCGACCGATCTCATAGTTGGCGATTCGCATGGAACAGTGACTATATTCGAGAAGAAGCAGATGCTTAGCAAGAGAAACTTGGGGTCCGCTATTAGATGCTTGGAGATTTTCCAAGACGCCGGTTAGTCATATGAATGAAGACTTTTCAGTATCATTGAACAATTTGATCATTAAACCTTATATTTATAGTGGGCGGATATGAAATAGTGGCTGGGGATGCATCGGGAGTAATCTCCGCTTTTACTGCCTACAAACATATGTGGCGAATAAAACTAACCGACGAGACTGATATTTTACAACAGACAGCGGGAGTTATGGTCGGTAGAGGATTATTGAGTGTCATCCGATCTGATTTGTTTACATGTTGTTCTTACCATTGTCTATTGTTGCCTTCTTTCACGGTTGGAAGTAGAAGGATACCCGCGATCCTCGAATTCGCTGTATGTTATTTGTTTCTCTATTGGATAATTTTAATGTGGAAACAAATTATTTACTTGCATGCGACAGAAGTCCGTTTGTACATTTCATACAAGGAGGGCAGAGAGTTCTAAGTATCGAAGTTCCTTATACTATAAACTCGGTACGCATCGTTAACTGATGACTGTTGTCAATGAAAGATATAAAATCCAAGTGAAAATCGAACTGATTATGTTATCCATAGATGTGTACAGGGTATTTTAGAAAGGAAGATCACTCGTTACTGTTTGATGATCCACGCGTTCGACAGGTCATTCTTGGAGCGGATAATGGACATATCTATTTGCTGGAACACTATCAGGTATGATAATACCATATCGTCTTGGTTGTAGTTATATATATGCGTGTGTATAGTTTACGGACTGAGTTTATTTAGGTCACTAAGCTACTCAAGATCGATTATCCTGTTTTGAACGTGGCACGGTTTCGTCCGAGCAGACTAGATAGTGCAGAAACTGATTACTTGCTTTGCACTGGGCACTTTAACGAAGTCCGAATATATAAAGACGCACAGGTTGCCATTTTATTATTTTAAACTATTGATAAACGTAAATGCATTACTGACTTATCATCGATGACAGTTTATCCAAGGAATCACAACGGAGGATTGGATATATACGTTAGCTGTTGAAGATGTGGACGGAGATGATCAAGATGAATTGGTTATCGGAATGATGAACAATTGTGTAGAAATATACAAATATGATTACGTTTCTTAGCACAATAGTCAAATAAAGTGATCTAGCGCATTTAATGAATCAAGTCGTTCATATCTTTTTCAAGATCGTATGCAACTTGAGTGAATCTTTTCATCAATTTATTCGACTACTCCATCGCTGTTGAATTTAGTCAGAGTTTTCTCAAGGGTCTCCTCGTTTATTCTGTGTTCTAGTAGAAAGCTGCCGTTAAGATGTAAAACAGGAATATCATATTTGTATTCTTCAAACCATTTCTCATTCCCGGGAGCGCGTATGTCTTTTTGTTCGAGTTCAAAAGGTATCTATTTAAGTATTTACGGGAAATCCAATGGTGAACGATCCATGTTACATTTGAATTAAAGAAATCATTTTTATTTGGCAGACTCTATGAAATACCTTATGACGAACGCGCTCGAGGACAATCTTTGCTTCTTCACAAAGAGAGCAATTCTTTGATGTGAATAGAGTTAACAAAATTCGCCGCGACGGAACAGACATAATAAGGTTTGGAAATTGTAAACGTAGTCGTACAGATTGACTTTCTGCCAATCCGTGTAAATTTGTATGTTTTTACAGATTATTGTTTACCGTTACTAGTCTCATGGTAAGAATAAAAAAAGACTCGATACTAAATATGACCTATCCAACAACACAGCATCAAATGAGATAAGCTTCTCTTGATATTTAAAGGTGATTCGGAAAGTATATTGGATTACTAATTGCGAGGTTTGCAAAAAAATATATCATAAGAGCTAACTTTTGTTTATAATACTTAATGTCGTTTAAGCGCTTTTTACATTTATTTAATTATAAGCTTTTCATTGCAATTCATGCTCGTCAGGTAGTCAAACACCTTGCACTTGCGTTATAAAAAAAACGCGAACGCTCAATAAAATAAAGTTCTAATTCGAAAGTCGAACAGTTGCCGTTTACAGTCTTTATTATTAGCAAAGGTGCTATCAACTCGGCCATGTTTTCATTTCATGCTTGACGAAGAATGATATTACTCTTAACTTCTAAAAACATGGTCGATAATCCGTCAGATTATAACAAGTAGACTAAACTCTCTATTTATTGGGAGTTACGCCCGACACACGTAAGAAATCAAGTGGGGTTGTTTGGTAATATTTATTACGATGAGACAAAATACAGAGTTAAGTTGGATAGAAAATCTTACATCTTCATTGGTTGTGGTTGTATTTGTGTTTTTGTCAATTCAGCTCTAAAAAGATACCGAATGTCAACAATAGCGTTAATAAGCAAAGTTACAGACCCCGGATCTGGTTACCTTAATTGTTTAGAGAACTCATCTTCAACATCCTCGTCATCCCAATTATCCTCCCATAAATGAGTTTCTTTGTCTTCTTCGGTTTCATTCCAATCTGTCAGAGTGAGTATGATCAGCACATGAAAGATAGAACGCAATCATACACAATCACGAACGATTCATTTTTTTGATCAGATTTATGCACCTTCTGCAGCGAATTCCTCAAACTCATCATCCTCTTCAAGAGCACCCAACTGTGGTATGTTTGTGAGCGGTTGTTGCCCTGGTTGTTTATTATCGGGTGGTCTCCTGTCTTGTTTTGTTGATGTTGAAGCCGACTTTGAAGACATTCTTTAGCTGACCGGTAATGCAATACAGTTCGAGGTGCTGAGCAAATTCTAACTGAAGAGGAAATTATTGATGCTGACGCAATATGTAGGCAATAGGATGACGATCAGGCGATAGCCAATTTCTTAATTGGATGAAACTATCCAAGTTTTTAGCGTGACTTTTGTATTACATCTCCCGCCAGTTAAAATCCTTGTATCTCGATTTTTCCTTGTATCTCGATTTTGTATTTAGAAATCTCACGCACTTCATATTTATATGTTTACAGCAGCGAATGATCGCCCGATTAATAATTGGATAACATATAAACCATCTATAATCTAGTCGTTACAATGACAATGTATCAATAATGCAATATGATACTTCCTAATCTCGCAGATACAAGATTCTCGTTTCGGAAAATCGAAATGTACACAATATACAAAGATTTTAACTGGCGGGAGATGTAATACAAAAGTCACGCAAAACTTGGGGAGTAGTTGTTGAAAGAGCACCGACAATGCCTGATACATTCACGCCTTCATCAAAGCTCGATCGCGCCAGTTTGGCCCCAGGAGAATTCATTACAACTGTAACGACTGTAACTTCCTTGTGGGCATTTTTTATCGGTTCAATTGACGGGGCCAAACGTGCAAGTCTTCAATACCTTGCCGAACATGCACACGTGCTCCCGAAAACAAAACAAGGATGGTATCTGTATCATAAACGAAAAAACTACGCTGTAATACTCAATTCAGGAAAGATCGGCTTGCAATACGTGAAACGATTTGGAGGATTAACTCTGGTATTTACGGGAACGCAAGCAACGCTAGATAAAGCGCGTGGAGAAGCAGACGTGATTAATTCTGTCGTAGCTGGCGCTGGAACAGGGCTGGCTAATTCATTTTTGTGTAAGGATCGAAAGTACGAGTATGTGAATAAGGAAAATTTTTTAGAAAATTAACCGGAATGTTGCTAGCAAGCTTTTGATTTTGAACAGATCGTCTGTCTCGACGAAGTACGTTGCATACGTGTATGATAGGTGGTGCAGTTGGACTTTTCGCTGGCGGAATGCAAGACATGATAAATATCTACCAAAGAAAACCAGTTTGGTATTGGAGACAAGGTTCAAATATTAACTCTGTGGATGGGAACAGCGTGGTGAAAGCCTAAGTCGGTCAATTCGATAACACAAATAAAAACATACACACAATAGATATATTGCCAAAGATACAAAGTATCGTGATAAGTATTAAGCATTTATTTAGTACTCATTTGGCAGTGAGTTCGATGGAGCAAAAGTTTTGTTTTTTGATAAATTAGGAGTTCCGTTTTCGATACATCTGCAGTGAAGTAATGTTTTCCTGGTCTCTAGTATTTTCCGATTATACTGATAACTTAATACGCACCCGTTCTAAGAATATATTTGCCTTAATCGTAGTACTGTAAATGCAACCCCCCATAAATGCAAACGTCCTCTAAATGCAAAATTTTTCCATTTCTGCAATTGCAATAGATTTACGCGTCTCTACCTAACAGATTTATTTCTCGAAATGCAATTCACACGATTACTGTGAACGCGACGTGCTAAACATTTCATTTCGCTGGGGAATGCGGATTAGGGAAAGAAAGAACTGGCATTGAATGCAGCCAATCCTGTTTTGCGTAAGATTTTCCTGAGTGCAAATTGTACGGAGAATACTAGAGTATGAATATTACAAGAAACCGCCAGCCAAGGGGGTTATTTATAAAAAAACTTGCAAGAGAGAACAGTTTATAATATCAATTGAAAGATTAGTGAGAAACTGAGGGAGACTTGATAAAGATTAGAGTTATGGTTCTTGCAGGAATCGATATAACGTGCTAGTAAAATTGAGAAAATGTAAAGAGAGTATAACAAAGTCTATGGATTTAACTCCAAATTTCAAGCTGGATTCATTTAAAGCATTGGTCGGTGTAAGCAGTAAGAATTCAAGTGCAAAAAAAGGTAGCGGCTCTAAATCACAAACAATGAGATTTGGTTTGTCATTCCAGCCTGTCATACTAGCCAAGCGCGTCATAAATTTGTTATATCACGTGTCATAAAAATGTGACCTTGAGCTTTCTCAGAATATGCGCCTTAAGAAAACATACTGTAATTGTCAATGTGTAGGTTACTGTCGAAATCGATTTACTCTTTGTTGTCAGTATCCTCCCTTGCAGGAACGTTACCTCAGAAGATAGGTAACTACAGTTTATGGGTTGACGAGACTTGTACAAAGTCGCGACTCGAACACCTTACTCCAACGGTTTACAGGAAGACCAACAGTTTTCTCAACGAATAAGCTTACAAACATACTAGCAACAACTGTACGAAAATACAGTAGCGATACAAAGCCAATAGAAAATGCATTAACGGGGAAGGAATTTCGGTCTCGAAGAGCAGTTTTTTACGGTATTTTTATCAATACACTTCTTTCCGCGCTGACACGATCTGATAAATACTCTAAAAATTTCCACATAGTCCCCGGCGGCGAAGAACGTAAAATAAAATCATCATTAAAGTTAAAAGCTGACTGCATTGTCTATGACCTGGAAGATGGTGTTGCATTCAATCGGAAAGGAGTTGCTAGGGAAATGGTGTTTGACACGTTAGAGGTCTGGATGAGTTACTTTTAATTGGAGCGTCAAAGATTGAAAAGAGAATGGGGAGTGAATAGAGAACACGTTGGTTTGACTTTAAACTGGTAATTGACTCAATTATTTAAGACTTCAGAATTGGGCAGGTTTGAGCGGGCCGTCAGGATTAATTCAGTAGGATCTGGTAGGTTTAATACAAGAACTCGATGACTGTTGGGAATATACTAGTCAAGTTTTTTATTGAGGTTATTTCTATTGAAGGTCTTGAATTAGATGATCTGAATGTCGTGGTGAGTATTTGGTGTTAGTTTGGGTAATAATGATTTTTCAATAAACGTCTTCATTGTTTGCTTAGTTAAGATCGACGCATCTCCAAGCAATCGTTATTCCAAAAGTACAGTCCGCCAAAGATATTCAATTTGTCAGTCGTATGATTGACTCTGTTGCGAAGGAAACAACGTTAGTTAATGTTGATGCTGATTTATCTGATTTATCTGATTTTCACACAATGCTTTGATCTTAATTTTATTTATTAAAACAGGCGAGCTAATATTCGTTTAATTGGTTCCATTGAGAGCGCATTGGGCATTATGAATTTGAAGGAAATTGCGACATCTGATGGGCGATTAGATGCGCTTATTGTAATGCGTACTGTTTGATAAAGCTTTAATGTTTTGTTTTCTAATATAACCGGCCAGTAGCGTCTCGAGCTTTGATTGTATTTTTTCCTTCGACTGTAGTTTGCTGCAGAGGATTATTGCGCTGATCTAGGTAATGATTAATTAGAAGTATTTTACAAGAAAAAGCGCTAAAATTGAAATTAACAATACAACCTAGGACTCACAAGAACGTCATCGCGGAAGGAGGTAAAATTGTTAATTACGTTATCTTATACACTTTTTTTTCATAACTCAAAATTATATCTTTTCAGTTTTTATATGCACGGCAAGCAATCGTAACCGCTGCATGTGCTTATGGCTTACAAGCAATCGATTTGGTTTGTATTTATCTATAATGACTGTAATGTTGTTAAACATAGAGTTGTACTAACAAGCATTGACTGGTTGACTAGGTTTGTCTTGATTATAAGAATGACGCGATCCTTGCGGAGGAATGTCAAGAAGGTAGAGAAATGGGATTTGTAGGGAAGGTGAGAAACAGCAACTGTCGTAAGAAATGATTGTTGAATTCAGACAATATAACAAATAATATTTTTCATAATTATAGCAAGCTATACATCCTCAGCAGGTTGATATAATACACAAGACTTTCTTACCAGACAAAAAAGGTAAATCATACATTTTAAACAGATATTCATGACGCATTTGACAATTCTAATACGGTCACATACATTTTTCAGACATTGACAGAGCAGTAAGAATCTTAAACGGATACAAGGAACATTCTGAAAAGGGCATTGGTGTATTCAGTTTGGATGGCAAGATGTATGAAATCGTTCAAGCGAAATTATAACGAGTTAGTCAAATTATGCAAGTTATGTAATGAATTTTCTGTTTGTAGGATTGATCTCCCTATGGTAAAATGGGCGCAAAGAATGATTTCAAGAGTGAAAGCAGTTGACATGCCCATTCCTGATGTCGAGACAACAATAAATAGTGGTAAAGCATAGGATCGAACGACAGTAACAAGGTTGGGAGTGTAGGTGATTATAAGAGTTTGCGATCAGTTTGTGAGTTTTGTTGTTTTCTCATCTTTTAATTGTCTTTTAAGCTGTTCCAGATGTTTTTTTGACTTGGCGTTTTACCTCATTATGCGTGATCCGAATTATTAACTTTGATTTGTGACGCCTTAAAATTAGTATGTATCTACGATTAGGCGCGCGTTGGTAATAATGTAATATCGCTGATATTCGAAACACGCGATTGAATGTGCTTTAGATTTATTACACTTAATACAACACTAGTGTCCATTACGCACCATGATTAGATACAGTCAATACGGTTACAAGATAAAACAATGAATATATATAGCTCGTGACATAAATAATATTACAAATTCAACGCACGTTCATCTGCACTGTCTGAACGTACTTGTCACATAAATACAATAACGATGGATCACGGGTTCACCAATGAGGTGAGAATAAATACCCGGTAAATATCGCCAGCCGAGTGTGGACCAAAAGTCCAAGGAGTTTCGATCGGAAAACCAATTGTCCGGTAGCTTACCTTTGGCTTTTTCTAATTTCCAACCGACAAGTCATTTAATGCAACGCAGACTGCGGCCTTATGATGACCATTATACTGTCTTATTGTCTCTCCTGGCTGTAACTCCCATAACCTTGCCATGTGGTCGGACGAGGCTATAAAAATAGCAGGCAGTCAATTTAGCAATGCTTTCCTTTCAGAAGATTGTTGCGCGACCACAAACAAACCTGTTACTAAATACGCCGAATCAGCAGAAAATGCACAATCCCACACCCATTTTTGATGCCCCTTCAAAACTTTGTCCAATTTAAACTCGTAATTGGAGGCTGACCATATCTTGACAGTCGTGTCTGCAGAACAAGTAGCCAAGTGCCTAATAATAGTGGGTTGGACACGTGGTTAATAAAATTTGGGCACCACGAAAGATCTCAATATCATTCAAACTCACTTGAAATCAGGACTGAGGAGGCATCTCGTGATATATCTATTATGAGCCGAGAATTTTGTTACTGGTTGCAAGTCTGTAAAGTCACGTGTATTGGACATCTTCCATACATAACAATTACCCTGTTACAGTGGAATAAACAGTTAGAAGTTTAGATCTAAAATTTCGACAACGTAGCCCACTATGGTAATCTAACCTTGTTATTGGCTGCAACCAGCATAGACCCATCAATTGCTACGGTCACAGATCGAAGTGGTACGTCTTCTTCTGGTATCTTTTAAATTCAAAGTGTTGTTCTATATGCAAAAACATTTACATAAAATACAAATACATTGACAATCCAACTGTTAACTACTTTACCAGATTATGAGTGCAAGAATTCTCTCCTAAATCAAGGATTATTATACCACCATTCTGATCACATGAAATCAATTCTCCCTGATTTGGATGAATGGCTACATCGTTAACTGGAGCTTTATGATCATAGTTCCTCTGTACCGATGGAGCTCTACAAAAACGAACATTACCACCTGTGTGAACAAGCATTTGAAGGCATCATGTTTCGGTTTGTAAAGCCACTAGTCCGCTAGAAACTTGATCACTTGTATTCATCGTTGTACCTTGTATCCCATATCTTCAATGTCCCATCCTCACTGCCCGTTACCATCCATTTTCCCTCACAATGAAAGCCAACAGCAGTTACATTACCAGTATGACCATCGAATGAGGTGATCTAAAATGTTTCAAGAAATAAAACAAGATTCAATAAATTCAAGAAAAATTTGAAACGCGCGAACACAACTTTTTTGATCAGAAGATTACCGGGTTAGGATTTGTACTATTTATATCATACAATCGAATATGTTGATTTCCTGTATGAAGAGCATTGTTAATCTAGTTTTACGACAGGCCAACCCGTAGAATTGCAACTATTTCTAAATTTACCTGCAGCAGCCAAATATCTCTTATCTGGAGATATACATAGACGATTAACTTGCTACCAGAAGTCAGAAAATGTATTGTTGTCTTAGCATTCGTACATAAAAACCGTTATTCGAGCCCAATTAATTTTACGTTCAGATCGACTCACGGAATCAGGATGCTGAATGGTCCTTGAACAAATTCCACTCAGAGCTTCCCAGAAACGAATAGTATGATCGTAACCAGCAGTCACTAGAATAACCGAATGCGAGTCTTGCGTTGGCTGGTAAGGCTGATCAAAGTATTGTTGATTCTGGTAGTTACCATGGTGTGGTCTTTGGTGGTGACTCCGCTGCATGGTTTATATACATGGGTGGTGTGGAATTGATTGATTAATTATAAACACATTTTCTGACTCACGTGCAATGAGATCGAAAATCGATCCTGCAGTGTTACCGCATTCGGCACAAGCTGGTGTAACACGTTCGGCTTGCATTTCGTGGTTTTATCCGATCTAATACTTAATACCCTTGTCGGTTTTGTTCGGATGCTGTAATGAGCGTTCGCGTAATAACTGCTGCTTCTTCCGATTGAGCAAAAGTCAATAGATGGCATTCATGGATGTAGCCAGTATTATCGATAATTGTACAGCAAACCGTATAAATAAATAATCAGTTTCTTCACCTCGTTCGGATATTTCACTCTCATTATCACATTACTCAATCATGTAACATACCATCAGTTTGAAACAAAGTAGATAAGCGATGAGAATAAATATCTCTTTGATCGTATTCTACGATCGATCATGTTTGTATGACTTGTCTTTTTAAAGGTGTGCGTCGATCGTAATTCTAATAAGGGAACCTCAAATTTGTGTAACAAATTAGCATACGCAGAGAATTCCCATTCTCAAAACTTCGTGATTCTAAACCGCTTTGCCGCGATGAATGCTGTCCACCATATCGATGAATTAGTTAAGGAATATCTATTGGTACTACTTCATCTCCACATAACTTTGACGTTAATACAAAAATTCTATGTTAACGCTTTAATTCTGACTGTTAGTTTCGAGGATTTTCAAATACTTTCCGTGCGTTCGAACAGGAGAGCAGAAACGACAGAGACAAAGGATTTCAAGTGCGATCTCTCGAAAGAGAATATTAGAGTTTATCCTTCTTTTTTAGAAAATGTTATTATCTGGATTCTTATCATCGCTTTGCATTCTTAGGCTGACAAAATTGTTGAAGAGTTATATTCATTTATAATAAATAGCGATATCAATGGTCTTATCGATTACTGGCGATATCTTGATGTGCGATACTTTTCTCGATTAGACGGACGTTTCCTTGGAGCTGTGAACAAGTTCGAATTATGTCTTTTAAGATATTACCTTGTATACGGTACGAATCATTCGATAAGCGATAGTGTATTGGTGTTATACCTAATCCCTTGTATTCTCATTATCCAGCTGCTCAGCAAAAGAGGAAAGAAAAGATACTCGAATTTTTTGATACGGCCGGACCAGAATTAAGTTCCAATCCGGAATGGACAAAATGGTTTGGTGTGTAGTCATTTAGATGTTTCTGGTGACAGGACGTAGCGCTTTACAATAATCTACCTGTACTCTTATTTTAGGCCTACCATTTTCCAAGAATCCAGCGACAGACCCTAATTTTGAAACGTTTTTTACTAAACAGTGGCTAGAGACGTTTACGGTGTCTCTTCGTAATTTCCTTAATACTATATTTCAAAACATGCGTATCCTTAAAGTCTCAACATGACGATCAACATTGCACGCTATCCATGATCCTTAATTTTTTCATTTACTCCTCAACAGCATTGCCTGCTTTATTATGTTTCAACATTGATAGGTTACAAATACGGGCAATGCAGACAGAAATAGAAACTCTTCAATCAGTGATTGAGAATTTGAAAACGGAAATTGACACTGGCGGTGATATGGAAGTAACAACAAGTACAAAAAAAAAGGTAATCTGTCAGACATATAACGTCATAATGTTTAATAGCGTTATTGAAATATTCACCTATCTGTGATACCGCAACAGACGAGATCTGATGCATCAACTGCATCCAAGTCAAGAAGACGCGCTGTTTCGATGCAAGAAGGAAAAGAACGAGAGTCGTATGTATGACAACGTAGAATAACACAGCATATTATTCTATCTAATTTAACTTAATAACAACCGATTTTTATTAGATCATTAGTTGAACGACTATCGCGAGGTAACTCGGGTGTTATTACTCAAATCAAGTCATCAACCATTCACCTATCTAAACCAATGCTTTTTTCCCCCCAGGAAATAACTCCACTCATAGCATTACATCAAAGTCTTTACATGATGGTGATGCTTCTCGTTCTTTATTCGATCTCGATCGAAGTGGCACACCGATATCCGATCATGCCTCTGTGGACGAGGCTGTGTTGGAGGGCCCGTACGAGGAAATCGCCGACGCTGGTGAGACTACCCAAGTACGTCTTACTACAATTACAGAATAAGAACTATGTGTACTGACTGTTGTTTAAAAGTATGGTTTCTGTTGTGAAAGAATGAAATGGGATACACGGGATGGAAACGCGGCACCATTATGATTTTAAAATTAGTTTTTCGACAACTTAATTAGGCTTCGGGGACACGGTGAATGTACGACAGCACGCCCAAATCAAACTTTTGTGCCAATATCGACTTACGTTGGTATCTATATACGCGTGATTCGATGACAAAAAGTCCTTTGTTTATAGCATCATTCATCCATAATCTAGTTCATAGAGAAAATTTTACAGAAGTCCAGTACAATATTAGTATAATCATAATTTATAATAAATAATTAATCCTTGTTCCAGTTAAGCATCAACTCATCTATTGTGGAACCAAATTGGCTTTCTCCTTCTTTATTAATATTCAGAGCAAATTATGTTTAGCTCCATATGTGGTCTTGATTAGATTAAATTCAACCATTCAAGATGTCTTACTTTATTGTAGCAGAAGTGCTAATAAGAAGACTTTCTAGTTCAGAATAAATTTTTCTTAATAACTTTGCTTTGTTATTGGCAGCTCCGATACCTTTTTTTCATTAAAGAATTTATCTCCACTTTTGTCCTATGAGACCTCAATTGCTCGATCTTTTGATATTATTTGTAGACGAATTTCACGTAAATCATTCTCTCTCTCCTACTATATACAAGACATGAATCGAATACGGAAGGCCTCACGTGAAATAATATTAATATTGGATATAAACGTCCTTTTTGCCTTTACTGTTATATTGGTCCGCAGAGATGGTAAAGGCTTATTCTATCAACATGACTTTTCTTAAAATGTTTTTTGACTTCTACAACATCATATTTTTGCAACATATGTGTTTTAATAAAAAACCTCGATAAACGGTATTAGAACTGGTCCAGAAACATATGTTACTCAACTCGCATCCAATTAACATTAATTAAATCGTACAATGAGATTGCAAAAAAGTAGGCGACGAGCAGTGCTTAACTAATTCAACAGGGATGTTACAACCGCAATTTAAAAAGAATGAACCTCTACTAAAGACTGTTAGCAACAGAGCTAACAACTGAACGATTGTAGTAGCGAAAAGTAGATCCGGTAGGTGAATGAGACGCGTGAAAAGGTTACCGAGCTACCGAACAATCGGGTCATAATTTCTAAACCTTTTACGATGTGTATAAATTTCGGTAGTTTCACTGTAATTGTACCCTTTTTGATGTTTTCAGGCAGATTGAAGCTACCTTTATTGGTAGTAGTTTGGGTAGTAGTGATATAAATATATAGGCAGTATTATAAATAAGGATATAGAATGATGCTCGTCCTGTGAAACGGGACTCGCACATCGCGGGTGGCATTCGCTCACCAGATACAGAGTGATTGCTTACCAACGCCCTTACCGACCATCATATTACATGTATGCAGAGTAGGAAATTATATAGCAATTTTCCGGGAGACAAAAGTACGTGAGGCCAAGCCACATTTGTTACACGCCCCGTATAGTGTGCTACATATAGCTATTCTACAAGCCACCTTCTACATCCTACAACTTAACACTTATTACATACTAACATCCGACAGATGTCTCGCTTCGTTCGCTCATCAAAGTACAGGTGAGTCATCTACGAAATGAATGTACTAGGCAATATATTCGGTCAAAATGTAATGTTCGAGCAATAAGAAAGCAGTGATTGGTATGCGAATGCAACTATTCTAAACCTTTTTCCCAACACCATAGACATGTCTTCGGCACGTCAGCAAAATATGATCTTTGCTTCGACAATGTAAAGGTGTCAGGTAATGCGTGGGACACCAATCTCGTAAAAGTTAACTCTGTAAGCTTGTGATATTCCGACTACTCATTAAGAAAATATCTGGCAAACTTGATTATACGCGAATCGCATTACTGATGATAAGGCTTTTATTAGAAATTTGTTGCGATCAACTGGAACTCGAGCGGTGGAGGAGCATTTGCCGTGATTCCTCATAGAAATGCCGGTATGTCAGAAAAAAAGGAAAAGGAAAAAGAAAAAGAAGAGTATAGCACGCAAGAGACGTGCGCGTGCTTGTGGGCGTAAATCTTTTTACGTCAGAATTATTCTCGATGTAGCAAAAATCGACAAATATCCTGTTGTCGAAATCACATTGACGCGCAACTACGCTCACATTTTCCGCTAATTGTTTTCCTATAGGAAAAATTGTCGATGGTATACCGCTATATCGCGGTCATACAGCAGCAGTCCTCGACACGGACTTTGCTAATTTCAATGACAATGTGATTGCGTCCTGTGCAGAAGACTCAAAAGTCATGATTTGGAACATTCCCGATGAATTGGGAGAACCAGAATCGCCTGATGTTACACCTGCTGCCACATTGAGTGGGCATACCAAGTAAGTGAATAGAAAAAAACGGGGCGAAGGAAAAATGCGCGTTACTTACTTGTTACGTTGATTACGCGGCTGCATATATTTCATGCAATATACATTTATTTATCACTTGCAGAAAAGTCGGTCACGTCCTCTTCCACCCCGTAGCTGACAATATCTTGGCTTCGTCAAGCTCTGATCTTTCAATATACTTATGGGACCTTACTAGTACCTCTCATGCACTCACACTGAGAGGCTTTACAGATCTTATTCATTCTCTTTCCTATTCTTATAATGGTAACCTTCTCGCTACAACCTCTCGCGACAAAAAACTTCGCATATTCGACGTTCGATCCACAGAAGTTGTTCAACAAGCGGATAGTCATCAAGGAATCAAGGGCTCGCGAGTAGTATGGTTGGGAGATGCGGACAGGCTTGTAACAACAGGCTTTAGTAAAATGAGTGATAGACAGGTGTACGTGTGGGATACGAGAGCCTTGAACAAGCCGATGAAAACTGTGCATCTGGATACTTCAAGCGGTGTGGTTATGCCTTTCTACGATAACGATACGAAGATGTTGTACTTGGCTGGGAAGGTTGTGTTCTGGATGAGATTTGGGTGTGAGAAAGACTTAGCGCTAAATGAACGATAAGGAATGAGGAATGGAGATTTTTGATCCATCGAGCGAGAATATACTGACGATGTGAATATTTTTTATACTTTATTACGCGATCATTATTCATCTATCGTTTACAGGGGTAAGTCGTGATTTACGCTCTTTTATCTTTTATACCAATCGCCGTTATCACAGTATTTACCCTATCCTATCCTGTCACCTCACTTCACTTCCCAATTCGCTTTCCATTTTATTTTTCCTTTCTCAACCCATCTTCAGTGACGGCACAATCCGCTACTACGAGTTCGAGAACGATGCGCTCTACTTCCTATCAACGTACCAATCTCCCGAACCTCAACGTGGGTTAGCCTTTATGCCTAAACGCGCATTAAATATCAACGAGTGCGAAATTGCTAGGGCATACAAGGTTATGAGTCATATGATCGAGCCGATTTCGTTTGTTGTCCCACGAAAGGTAGGCAAAATTGGGGAATAGCGTGCGTAGAGCGGCACGGCGACTATGAGGAGCGAAAGAATAGAGAGGATGATGGATAGATGCTTGCGATCTGCTAGCCTTTAAAACATTCATTCATACTTACATCTCGGTTTTTTTTTATTCCTTTAATTCATCTCATCAGTCTGATGCTTTCCAATCCGATATATTCCCGGAAACCCCAAGTGATGAGCCATCCTTGACCGCAGAGGAGTTCTTTTCTGGTAAAAGCGCGAACCCCAAACTGGTCAATCTTGAAAATGGATTTACGCCGAAGCCAAAGAAAGAGTTTGTTTCGTCTGCCCCACCAGAGGAGAAAAAGGAAGAGCCACCAGTATTGAAGACGGAGGAGGTTTGGAATGGGGAATGGGGAGGGGGGAGAGCGCGGGATTGAGCGGGAGCGGGAAGGCTTGAGGGAAACTATTGTGAGCGGCGAGCTTGGATGGGAATTTTTAGTAGATAATATATCAGAGAAAGGGGGGGTTGAGCAGTCTTAGGAATACTGCTGTTATATAATACTCATCAAATTTTCCACAAACTACTGCTACTCTACATATTCACATCCAACAGCTCCAAGAAGCCTACAACAACTTGCTACAAAAGAACACAGACTTACAAAAACTGCTTGACGAACGAGATGCGAAGATTGCTTCACTGACTGCTGAATTGGAACGTTTGAAAAGTGATTAAAACAAAAATTATACTCTCTCTCTCGAGTATGGTATTTATTATCTGTATTTTGTTTGCTTTTCGATTTTGAATATATTTATAGGCGTATTTTGAGAGCAAGGAGTTAGATGAAGTAGCAAAGACGAGGAGACAGAGGAGGGTGCTAGAGAGAATTATTGAACTTGATTTGTAGTAGTTATTTGATGAAAACGGAATAGAATACAAATCTTGATAGAGAATAAAAACGTGGATATAATAAAGACTTTGTTACATCTGGAAATATTGAGTGCCAGTTAACACCAAGCCTTTGATGACTTTGAAAAGTAACGAGAAGGGATATCAAATGATTTAAACTACAATGGGTTTAGACTGATGGAAAAAGGATCCGTTACTACATGCCGGAAAAAGCCGAACTCTGTTGTATTCCAAATTGAGAGAAGGACTATGCACATAATATATGGCACGGCTCTTAGTCGGAACGATTCTGGGATTTCTTGTCACAATTAATATAATTATGGTGATACCTAATATGTAATAAAGTATGTACCTTTGTTAAACTTTGTTTTTAAAGTAAAAAGGTTTTCAATGTCAAAGCTTTGCTTAGCGGAATTGTCAAATCAAGTACAACAAATATTAAAAATTCTAATGGACAATAACCCCATGTTATAATACCAGAATATGGGTCGGAGTTCCGTTCACCCACTCTATGGCATTTTTGCAAAACCTTTGTTCGCATTTCATCAAGAAAAGAGACAATAAAACTCGACATGGAGACTGATCGAGAAAAAAAGCATATAAAGGCCAACAATTAGACGGAACGAGTCACATTGCTCTAATTGACTAGCAGAGACATCATAGACAGGCTATTGTTATAGTCTGCTAAATTCAACTTTCATACAAGATGGGCGATAATTATGCAGAAGTTAGTTACAGCTATCACCTCGGTTCACGTATGACGTATACATTCCGCGTAACTCCGACGGTAACACAACGATTTTCAGTCGGATTAACGTAAAAAGAGCGCGACTTTCTTCATGTCCATGTTCACTTTTACTATTGGTTCACAATATCTCTTTCTAATAAACAAGTCGCTTATATACTCTGAATACACGATTGATCTCTATTTTCCTCGTAAATTATTCGATATAGTTGTGAATCGCTAATCTTATATCGATTAGGGTATTCGCGGATTGTAATTTATAACCGCTTGGACGAATTGTTGAAATCATTCAGAATTTTCTAATAAAGGACACGAAATCGGAATTTGCTAAATGTTAGCAAACTTTATAATTTCCGCTCGGGGGTAAAAGATAAGAAAATGCAATAAACATATCGGCCAAGGACATATTTGCATGTGAATTTGCATTCAGCTTTTGGGGGAAAAAAAAAGCAATTGCAATTTGCCATGGCTCAAGTCTTTTTGACATGCTCACAATTAAATTGGAATCTTTCCATAAGGGATTAGTGACCATTTCTCTTTCAGAAAATCACCAAATCTTTGGTGTTTTGGGGATGTTTTCAGACATGTGTTTAATTCAGGAGATTAAGACGGCCAATCAGGTAGAATTTTTATTTTCTTCTCCCTAATTATAATTCAATTGACAACATTTGTACGGGAGCATTGTCATCTTGAAAAGCATAACCTTTACCATTAAAGTCACTTTGAATCAATGGCAAAAGGTTTCATCCAAGATTCTGATATAATCTTGATGATTCATCTTTCATAACTGAAAGTGCAAGAAAGATCAATTTTCTTAAAAATCAAAGTTTAGCAAAATTGATTTTTACATCAAATTTTGCATAAAGTATTTCTCGGGGAAAGTATTTTTAAAATCTCTATATTTAATACTGGGGCAAATAAAATTTTCCATGATTGTTTATTGTTAAGTGCAGCACCAACGGCCATCATCGCGTTCAAGCATGTTACTTCCAAGGCTAAACGGGTGGGCACGCATCAGTATATTTTGGAAACGCATTAATAAAGATACGAACCAAACCTAGTCGGGCGTTAGACAATTGTAAAATGGTAGAGAAGACAACCAACGAGCTTCAGAAAACCGGCGGCATACAAAGTATTAGACACCACCTTCATTCATGTATCAGAGCTCTTGGAATTTGGACCGAAAAGAAAGTAACTTTTGCGAACGGAAGAAAGGAATAGCACCTCCTAAGTAGAAAAAATATCCTCTGAATGTAAACGAATGGAGCAGTTTCTGGATCATCAAGGTTGAATTCTCAAAACATCAACCAAGATAACAAAAACGTAGAATCTTGCGGTCGAATTTTCTCATTCAGGATTTTGATTGAAAGTGTGGACTACGAGTTTCAACTCCAAGAGAGACGAACGGAAACTATTTCTGAACGATCTAAAAATCCAGCAACCTTTGTTGTCTTAATAGGGAAACCTCAAAAAAACAATAATGACAATTGACCCGATACAGAGACATACGGGAAGTTGATCCTCATTAATATGGTTTCGTAATATTTTGAAAACCCGGGACGTGCAAAGTTATATAGCAATGTTTACTAAAAGTGTTTCATTCGCATTATTGGATCCAAGTATCGTGCTCCCCAATCACAGATCGAAAGTTTTCTAAAACAGAATGTAATACGCCTCAGAAAGTATGTGCAGAACGACGCTAGTAAATGACCATTGTAACCAGGTTGGTTAATCTGTAACAGACATTGTGTGTTGTAACCAATCAAGATGAGTTAACCAATGAATATTCCATTTATTCCATTGTATTTAGATGTTTAGAAACTTCGTGTTCCATGATCACAATGGAAATAATTGAAAGGCCGGAGCAAATCATAAAGATTGGGTCCGATGTATGACATCTATTTTACAGCCCATATGCATATGATATACGTTGGTACTTTTAAATAAGGTTTGTAAAGGGAGCAAAGTGCAAGTTGCCATGTTAGCATATGATATTCACAAGTCGAATGGCATCCCTGTGAACCTCGAATCACATATAAGTGATATAGTACCATACAATAGGAATCTCACAAAACAAAAAAGGCACAAGGTACATATTAAAAGCTCCTCAAAAGCTGCGCATCTTGCAATAGGAATAGCAACACATTAGCCCCAGTGCTAATATTCCATTCATCTCGTCTACATCCTTTTTTCTCAATGGACATTTCGACCATTTAAGAATTATCATACAGGAATCCATTTATCACGTGTTATCAAGACAAATATGACACAAACGGTGATACAATAACGCAATTGCGAATGTGTGAAACAGGAGAATCATTTACAAACTACTGGTATTCGTTTCAATGCTTTTCGATTTGGAAACATATATAACTTCGTTACTCAAACTGATAATCTTTCTTTATCGTAACCATCTCTCTAAACTAAATATAACCGGTGTGTTGCCTTATCGTTATCCTTTGTAACCCTTATTTTTAGAAAATTTGATCACGCGGATAATTGAGCGTGATACAAGAGAAGCAACAATCAGTAATGTATTCCCTTAAATGCATTCCTCATCTGTCCATGGGTCAATTAATATTCCTTATTGGTAAGAAATTTTTCTTTTCAGCTACCTGTATTTGTAGTGTGAAATACAACAGCCTTTGTATTGGCTTGGAATTAATGATTGTACTTTTAGAAAAAACGGTAATCCATTAAGATAAGGTATGTTACAGTGCGTTTGTGTATGTGTGTATGTGTGTGGTGTAATCTATAGACTACCAATTCATGGAAATACAGTTTCATAACGATATAATGGTTTAGCCATATTTCAAAATGGTACAGTCAATTGGTTCAACTATGCAAAAGTTATAATACTAATGCGGACTACAGAATTTCTATGGGAATGCAAATAATGGTGCAAAAGTGAATGTACAAGATGTCATATGTGGCCTGTGTGGTTGGAGATCTATTATTAAGACAAGCAAACTACGCCCATGAGCATTATAGCTGTATGCAAGTCTCACAAATCGCACAGAATATGGTCCCCGGCTTGAAAAGTCTGTCATTGCACAAAGAATAAAGGATAAAAGCCAATCATGTGATTGATGTAATATCTGCGTTGTAAACCACCTTTCAAAACATCAGTTGACGGAGAATGTTTTCCGTCGACTACTTTATGTGGCACTTCCGGGACGATTCCGGTGCCTCGGCTTTTACCGACATTGGCGAGGATTAATACGATTTCCGGCAAAGCACGAAGGCTGAGGAACCTTCGATTGGCAACGTTAAATATTGCATATTTATTATGCAAGTCTTGATCAAATATCAAAATTAGAATATTCTACCCAAAATTATTTAGTTACTCAATAACCTCAAAAAGGAACATCTAACAATTCCTGCAACAAACCACATGATGAGCTCAACAGAGCCAAGCTTAATACTAATTACCAACTAAATACAGGTCTTATCGATCGGATAATTAAGCGCTTATTGTTAACCCAATTATGTCTGCTTTCCTTGGAGAGATAATTCTGTCGAGACATAGTTGACATACGTGGGAATAAAGAATTTATTTCATTGATCGGAATTACATAACACGAATTCCGAATGTTTACTAGCGCTCTCACTGTGTTTGAAAATCGGTATGCAAATGGAAACAAGGTGCATTGTTGTGCTTTGTCTCCTTGTCTCGCTCTTTCATTGACCGCTGCATTGAATTGATATAGTATAAATAATATAGTACAATGGTAATATAACTACTGTGCCACAAATCTTTACGTAACACGGGTAAGGCCAAAATAGGGGGGGTCTCTGCTACGGTAAATAAATATACATACTAATATATCATGCACGTGATTATAGTTATTATTAGCTACTATTGTATTTACTATTGATAGTATTGAAGCATATTGCTGTATTGCGATTGCACAATATAAAGTTCATGGAATTACATGGAACTACATTCTTTTCGTACATAGCGTCATTAGACTTTCCATATACGAATACATAGGTACAATAAACAGTGGAGAGTTTTCCAATTCGTATGTGATACAGTTCTTGTCAAAAGAACAAAAAAACCAAAGCAAAACCAAACGCCTCCCCCACCCCCGCTAAGACTTTCATGTCCTCGTCTTTATTATTGTTTACGCGTCCATCAACAGACATGTCAGTGTTGTTGACGAGTATCGTGTCCTCGCGTTTTCATTCTCATTATTTATTACTATAAATGAACAAACAAAGCATGCTTTGCGCCAAGACATTTGGGAAACGATTCATGCACAAAGCGATTAATGAGGGTAAACAAATGTAGCTACTTCGTGACACTTTTTGTAACAGGGCTTGTTTATTGGCTCCGAATTGCGTTGTCACTCAGATGGAAAAAATAAACGTTTATTAATGAGCCTTGTCATACCATGGATAAATCTGAGATATAAACGATTGGCCCGGAGTATGGTGGAATTAACAATGCTATTACGGTTAATAATGGTGTACCGATGGTTCCCGTTTCTAACATGCAAACTCCTGATGGGGTCCTATTTTGGTCGATTACGTAACAAACAAAAAGATATAAATCCTCCGCCTCGGACCACTCCCGTCCCTTGCTTTGCCCACCTTTAAATAAAACTCACTTTTTGATATAATCAAACACGTCAGACTATTCATCATGGACAATAGAAAGCGTAATATATGGGGTCACGTCTATAACAAAGAGAACGATGACATTGATATTGTAGATTTGACTATACACAATCTTGCAAAACGTTTGAAGAAAGAAGATCCAACAATTGGAAGGGGTGGATTAGGAGGAGAAAAAGACAGAGAGGGAGGGGGGGAAAGAGGAGGGAGTTACGGTGAGTAAGTGACCGGACATACGCGTCCAGAGAGAGGGGGGAGAAAGGAAGCGTGTTTGTATGCTATGAACAATGTATTGTAGTGAGATGTGTTTGTAATGTATATTCACCATATATTCAAATCAGAAGCATCAGTCTATGTTCCAAAACCACTACAAGACATTAAGAAAGGTAATTCGCACCAGAATACAATAAATAAAGGGAAAAAAAACCAAAAAACACGCGTTTCAACAATACCTTTCTTTTCAATGGACTGAATTCCCCATCACCGTCAATTTAGAATCTACAAACATAAATCAAGAGAACAATTATAATTCTCAGTATGCCGTACACGCTTGTAAGTGAAAAAAAAAAAGTATCCATGCTATGTAATATAATATCAGACTACTCATTGATTTAATTCAAATATTATTTAACTTGTCCTTTTATCTACTCAAAAGACAATCTCTTTTCTGACCATATTCAACAATCGCCTTACATGCTGCCGGAACCCACGTATATGCCATACTCTGATCTCACAGATCCCTACCAATCAGACTTTCAATCATACGAATGTCAAACACAAGCCGATGAAACAGCTACTTCCCTTTCTCAAATACTCAACACTGATTCATCTTACACTTTGAACAATATATTTTCCTCCGAGATCAGTTCTCCTTACTTTAACCAGGACGCTCAATATAGTCTCTCTACAACACAACAGCCCCTTCCTTCAATATCTTCCACAAACCTTATAGATTCGCTCCCTACAGACTCTAGTACTCTCCATCCCATAAATTCTCCCTCTATAGACTCTACTTCTCTCCACTACGTAAATTCTCCCTCTACGGACTCTACTTGTCTCTATCCCCCAAGTTCTCCACAACCCCTCTCCCCATCCCCCACCCCCGATCCGTCGAGTTCATCAGATTCAACGAGCGAAATGTCGGACGATCCGTTTGACGACAATGCTGTTAAAGATGCAATGAAACAGTTAGATACAGCCGATGGACACATACCTGGACTCATTCCAAAGTTATTTGCTCATCAAGTTATTGGAGTTTCTTGGATGGTTGGCCAAGAGAAAAGGTCAACGACGGTCAAAGGAGGTATATTGGCCGACGATATGGGCTTGGGAAAGGTAGGATAAGAATGGACGAAATGTGCTATAATCCAGACCTCAACTCTGAATGTGTCACTGTTTGATGCCTTTGCATACCTTTCAGTCGATCACTCACAATTCAGTATTCTGGTATTACACAGAATTAAGTTTCATTCCTTTCTTGTGAATAAGTCAATCCGTCCATAAAACAATTAGGTGATTAATTACAATTTGCTTTCTTTATATTCAATCTCTTACAGACCATCCAAACAATAGCAACAATTCTTATCAATCAGCCCAAGGATGATGAACCCAAAACCACGCTTATCGTTGCTCCTTCTTCGTTGGTTTATGTTTGGGACGATGCAATTAAGAAACATGTCGATGAAGGTAAAGAATATATATTTGTATGCAAATAGTGAAGAATGTGGCGTGATCAACTGTAAATAAACCGATTGTGTTTACTTCTTGTCAAGGTCAATTTAATGTGCATGTCCATCACGGTCCTGGGCGCACGCTTCGTATGAAGGACCTCGAAGCACATGATATTGTCATTACTAGTTATGACATTATTCGAGCCGAGGCGCGCAAGGACAACCGCGGTCCTTCAGTTCGTGCTCATTGGTATCGTATTGTACTTGATGGTAAGTTAGAGAGTGATGGGTGAGAACGATAAGCGTGGCAAAGGGAGGTCAGGGTACTAAAAATATAAATTCATTATTGCGAAAATGTAGAATCTCATATTATTAAGAACCATCGTAGTCGAGGTAGCTTGGCATGCAGCGAATTACATGCCACTTATCGGTGGTGTCTGACTGGTAAGTTTCGGCAAAAAAAAAATTGTCTGGAATGAAGAGTTTCGAAAACATTATTAGTATAGAAAAAGATTGCGAATTCAAATAACTTAAAGCGGTAATTTTTCTTTTGCACGTCCGTATATAGGTACACCCATTCACGTAAGTTTTCTACAGCCGATCTTTGCTCGCAAATTTCTCCATTTCCTGTCTCACGATTTTCTTTCCCTTGTACTTTTAGAATAAAGTTGATGACCTTTTTTCCCTATTCCGTTTTCTTAATGTGGAAACATATGGAGAATGGGATGAATTCCGTCGGTTGTTCCGCAACACTTATTACCAAGATAAACTATCTCAACAGAATGTACTATCACGAGTTATGCTCCGAAGGACAAAGACGTCAAAGTTGGGTGGAAGGCCAATTTTGAACCTACCGGAAAGGGTACCGGAAAGTGTGAAACTGGAGTTTTCGACTGAAGAAAGGGAGTTTTATGACGCACTGGAAAAACGTGCGGCGGTAATCTTTAACAGATATATGAAGAAAAACAATGTAATTAAGAACTATGCGCATATTCTATCACTATTGCTGTCGCTTCGAAGGGCGTGTGATCACCCGTTTTTGTAAGTATATGTAATAAAAATATTGTGATTGGCTGTGAGATCAATTTCTAATACCGTGAATCATATAGGGCTCAGCAAAGTATAGAGTTCAACGAATCGCTTCAAGCTGATTTAGGCAAAGCGCTCAAGTCGATGCCAGATGGGACTCTAACCTGGCAACAGTTGCTTCCTGTACAAGAAGAGCCAGTACAGAATCCAGTAGAAGATGCAACAGTCATACATATCGGTGCAGAAAGCAACCCTTCCAGAGACCTTTTAACAAACAACTCTCTTTCTAATTTCAAAACCGAAATTCTAACTCCCCCGTTATCCGACAACTCTGCATCTATCTCGACCGCTGGCGGTTATTGCTCGGTGATGGATTCTGAACGTAGTCTTAGTTTCGGTCAAACAATCGATTCTACATCGCAGTATAATTCAGAGTTTTATGGCGAAGTTAATAATGAATGGACAAGAGTGAAACTCGAATCCGAAGTGTCTTTTGTATCGACGACGACTGAAATATCAAGAGACAGTGGATACGGAGAGGAGTTGTATAATCCTATAGAATTGAACACGAAACCCAGTATAAATGAAACCGCATCCGATTGCAATCTCCCATCTGTTGAGGATTTGCTTACATTTCCATACGGAGAGTTAGAGACTCAATTGGCAGACGATCTGCCAAAAAATGAATTAATTGATAAAATAGACAACACCTCAATAAACGCATTAGATATGAAATCAATCACTCCTCACATCAGTTCATTGAGCAACATACTCAATACTACCTCTTCAATTACACAACTGCCAACTCCACAACCTCAACTGTCCGAGGGTTCCGATTGCGATGGTCAATCTCCTCCTCCTGCAGTTGATATGTCCGTACTAGCGTCAGGTTCCGAGCTAGTCCCATCCACTAAAATCACTGCTCTCGTTAACGACTTGTGTGAAGTCACAAAGGCAGAGCCTGATTCTAAGATTGTGATATTCTCGCAGTGGTTGGGAATGTTGGACATTGTCGAAGAAGCTCTGGACGAATACAAAACTTGTCGGGTATGTATAAAAAAAGTGGGAATGGAATATTGTGTATAAAAAACAATGGTCTCACGTTTCTTCGTCTCTTTCTAGTATGATGGCACAATGAACGTTTTAGAAAGACAAAAAATAATAAATAAATTTGATACTGATCCATCGGTTAAAATTCTCCTAATCTCTCTTAAATGCGGTAACGTATACCCCCCTTCTCTTTTTCACCTTTTTATAAGTCAATTTATGACCATAGCGTTAACTGTTCTGTCTGGTTATGTTCATTATTAGGTGGACTTGGATTGAATTTAACTGCTGCTAATAGAGTAAGTCTTAGGACCAGAGATACTTTCGAGCAATTTATTGTGTTGGATCGGCGCTGATGTTAATTTGTCTATTTCGTAGGTATATTTGTTAGATTGCTGGTGGAATCCGGCCGTTGAAGGTGAGTATCGAATGTAACTTGTAACAAGCTTGTTTTAAGCTCAAGCTCACAATGAATCTTTTCATCATAGAACAAGCAATAGATAGAGTGCATCGCATTGGGCAAACAAAGAATGTCACAATAAAGACATTCACCGTAAGCAATACTGTTGAAGATAGAATACTTGTGCTCCAACAACGGAAGGTAACAAAAACTCTCCCGACCTCTATGAGCATGTCGTCAATACTATGTATACTAATTAATTACCCGTCAAAATTATAGCGAGAAATGGCAAGCAACGCATTGAGCGGAGTGACAGTGAATGACACTGTTCGACTCACTACGCAAGACCTCGCCTTCCTTTTCAATGTAAACAATGCATCCAGTATAGAGAACGATTTATAATATAATTTTATAGATATCATAAGAGAAGGGATGTGTACAGTACATTATGGGTAGTGTATATAAAGTCCTTATAAAATATCCGCTAGCTAATCAACAATAATAAATCACGGCATCAGAATATATGGTGGCCGTGTTTGCATGCAAACAGAGTGGCACAAATGATTTATTTTTAATATCCAATAATAATAATCTCCAAAACCAGAGAGAGCTTTAGACGCGTGGCCGTTTGCTGAACGTTGATGCATCACAAGTTTGTCTATAACAGAAGTGCCGTTCCGTATAATGAAGGGGGAAAGCACTTTTGATAAATCTATGCGCAAGACAAGATTAACTTGTAACGATCAATGGCGTCGCAATTCAATAATTTAAATTGTGGTAATCACTTAATTTGGCACGGTTCGCATTCATAAGCTTCCTTATATGGGTATGCTTGCAACAAAAAATAACATATATGAAACTAATTTACATCAAATCCATTATGGAACCAGAGAATTACAGCACAATTAGAAGCATGCTCACGATATGCTTTGCTCGCCATGTATACTTGCAAAATATGCGGCAGAAACCGACTTCGTCAGCAAAACTACTATCGGGCATTGGGGCACGTAGAATAGTGTAGGATAGACATAGCAATACATTTTCTTTTATTGTGCGTTTGTTGCTTAAGTGTTAGATAGTGTCGGAAAACAGCGCGAAGAAGAATCGATAGCATTGTCCTTCACCAAGAGAACAAATTTTATAGACGTCGGGGATGTATTTAACAGAGTATTTTGTGGGAGGATGACCGCACCGAAAATCAGCATGCAGACAAACTCACCGAGGTTCCCATACACAAACAAGGCATGCTTGTAATCGAAATGAAGAAGGTAAGTTATCATTTGAAAGTGAACTATTTTACGCATAATTTAATCTTTGACGAAATTATCACAGATGACCTCAATCAAGCGATAGGAGTGTTGATTGCTGCCAATAGGCTATTGCTATCAGCTGAAAAACCGGTTGCCAATGATACTGAAGCCAAACCTACAGTCTTCACCACTTGGTTTACGAATGCACACAAAGCAGCAGCATGCATGCGGATAAACCCTGAGCAGATACAAGAAGAAAAAGCAACAACTTGTTCTGCAGGAGTTGGCTATGCTGGAAGAATGTAGGTGATCTTAGCGATTTTATTGATGAGATGTCCCCCTTGGAACGCAAAGCATATAGTATCAACACTGGTTTCGTCGTTATATTCCACCTGCTTATCAGTAGTCATTTGTGCGCAAAGCCTTTGTAATGTGATTTTAATGAACTATTAATGTACAGTATGTATATGGTTTTTTTTTCTTTGCTTAATTTGGAAATTGAGAAGATTAGTCATGAGAATAGCCTTTAAATAAATGTAATGCGATGTTCATCATCTCAGCAATTAGAATTACTTAAAAACTTTTTGCCAAGATAAACTAATCACCCTCTTATGACTTGTAGCTCGCTCTCTCTTTGATAAAAAATTTTTTTTGCTGTTGAGCTTTGTGTATATCCCAACAGACTTTTGCGATATTGTAGAGCAGAGGTTTAAATTAAAATACTAATTTATACTGATCTTGATATCAGCGAGGTACATGATAAAATGTGGATAGGGATATCAACGGGTATTGCGGGGAAATTTATTGGGTTGATTTTAACGGGGTGGATATTAAAGAGGGTTTACTGCTCAGTTCAGGAATAAAAATGTGGATATATTTCAACTGTTAGTACATATAAAACAAATTAGACATAAAAAATTTCGCGCTATTACTACAAATTTTCTGTTGCGGATGTTTAGTACTCGCTCTCTGCACATGGCAAAATTAAAAGAACTGAAAGCAAGCCATTTGCTGGAAGTTATTCCTTGCCAAAATATCTCTAAACAAATTGATAAAAATTATATGTAGATTACCAATATATGAAAAGTAGTGAATATAATAATAATAATTCTGACGAATACAAAAAAGCAATACGGTTCTTGGAGTTAGGTTGCAATTGTGGTTGCTCGAAAATGATTCCGAGAGTTATGTGAAGCGTTTCAAGCTCTCTCTAGGTCCGAACAAGATACGTTTTTAATGGCCCAACTGAAGGTAATGAATGGCGGAACGATTTCATATAACAGTGTTTTCTATTAATATTAATGTCACTATCAGAATTAAATCGCCAATATATCAATAATGCATATTCATATCGAGGAACGCGGATCGGCGGATGTGCGAGTTAACTGAAGATATTCTGGTAAGTCCAAAAGATATTGCCAGGTAAATGCAGGTGTGTTAACCTGATTGGTCATTGCGTCATCCGCAAGACAAACATAGTGAAAATCATTGTTGCGATACCATTGTGTTCATAATCATGTCCAGATCTAATATTGTAGATGCGAGCATGTTGTAAGGAGACATTGAGACATTCACCGTTAATACGAACAGTAAACACATCGACAAGTTTACACGTGCTTATCTTTGCTCTTCTTCTGAAGTTCTTCACATTGCTGCCCACTTATTCAATTGGTACGCACAATAAATGCAAATTTGCTGAACATACGGAACAAAAAAAAACGAGACGAGAGAACTATAAGGAATAATATGAATGAAAAGAAATCTTACATCAACGTCAGGCACCTGTATGTGCGTGGAAATGGTAACATTGGCGACAATGAAGGTATTACAGATACATAGTATTGTTACAAAAAAAAGCAGCTTTGATTATTGACAAGTCTGCCACATTCATCCTAGTCATGACAAGTTCACTATCGTCTTCGCCATTTGCAACAATCCAACGTCGACAGTATAGTCCTTTTGACAATGAAAAAAAGCTCGCCCTGCCTTCCTACGCCATAATCCTGATTATTGCTGGTGGTTCCATATTCATCCTCGCAACTATTACTGCAATAGTATGTTTGGTTCGAAAAAGATCAATCAAAAAACAGAAAGCGGGAAATTCGGTTGGCTCTGGTATATACGCGTATCTTCCAAATGGTAATCCACGGAATAAGGATGAGGAAGGCGTCGGGTTTCGGTACGAGCCAACTCGGCTATTGTCTACGGTTGATGAAGATGACAGGTATCCAGGACAACCGACCCATCCAATGAGTTCCGCTGATCAAAATCGCTTCGGCAGCGGACTTTCTAGACCCGTTGCCAAAAAACCTCCGAATTATATACCAGACATTCAGACAGATTTCAGTCGTTCTAATTACGGCGAGGTTCCCCGTCGAGATGCTACGTCACCGCAGCCTATTCATGCGAGCGGAGGGCAAAAAGGAGGTTTCAACAAGAGTAATAGAACTAGGATAGCCGCGGATATTCCGCCATTAGATACTGGTATTAATAAGTATACCAATACGGGCGGAAACAATGGAGACAGCCAAGGGTCACAATACAGCGCTGCTATCCGCAATCAGCTACAACAACATTATCCGCCGCCTAACCCCGTTTTACCTAAACCACGTCGATCCTCGCTTGCGCAATCATCACCGATATCGCCAGTATCGCCAGTGTCATCAGTATCACAAGCGTCACCAATATCGCCAACAGCACAAATGCCGTTAATCCATGAATATGAATCGTACGTTCCTTCACCGACTCGTCAATCGCGTCTGCAACGCTCACGCGGAACTTCACGTTATAGTCGTGGACGTGCGTTCCAATCGCCTATTTCATCATCTTCCTCTGGTTATGGACAGGCAACGGCACAAAAACGTGGGACGGTTGATTATGATTGGAAGAACTATCATCACAAGCGTAACAATACGAATGCCACTGGAAGAGTAAGCGGCGACAGAGCTACACGTGTGAATACATACACAGCGACGGATGCTATTGGTATGCGTGAGCAGAGATTATTTGATAGCAAAGATGGGAGTGAAAACGACTATCTAAATGTTGCAAGTCCTATTGGGTCGACGACAGGATATCTGTCTGATGAAATGGGTCATAGTGAGGTCGAAGATACGAGATGACAGATAGGGCAAGTGTTTTGCATTTGTGTGTACGTTATTTATATATATATAAATGTTTGTATGTGTATGTATGGTGTGTATCATACAGTATGAATTCTTCATGCGTCAATCGTGCGACTTGTACCATAAATAAAATTGTTATAGTTTGCTGTTAATAGTATTGTATATGTAATAGATCTATGAATTCCATCCCCAAAACGGAATGTTACCGTGAATTTGTCACATCTTCTAAAAAGACGTACCGTGAAATCCAATTCGTCATATAAATGGGGATGGTATGACATTAACAAAGTTCTTTGACAATCACATGCGATAATGTTACACGAATGCAATAAAATATATATAATAATAATAATATTCTGAATATTAAACTCACTACATTCTCTAGTGCTGCCGACTCTCTTTATAATGTCATCGACATCTACCGATAAAGAACTTCATCTTCAACGCTGGTCCTCTCTCCTCGCCGATTTCTATTCAACCAATAATCCTCTCTACGGCTCTATAATAACATTGATAGAATTCTCGACTCAATCTAATGGTGTTATCACTCTCAATTTCTCTCTTCTCGATTCGAACGTTTCCGTAACGGATGTTGAACCGATACTGCAGACTTTAGGATTCGTCAATGGAGTGCTGGTATATTCCGACGATTATCCAGAATATGAAAAAATAAAGAGACAAGTAAGATCTACTTGGCATAGTAAAAAAGCAGCCGAATTGGAAGAAGAATTAAACAGACTTTTGAACAGTAAGCCCGCAGTGTATACTGTAGCGCATAGGAGAAGTGAAGTGGCTTCGTTTGTAAGAGTATTTAAAGATAACGTAGGAGCGGCACCATTTATTAAAGGATTGAGACAATTATTCGAATTACAACATGGCAAGCGCAATCTAGTGTCGTGGACGTTTTTAGATGACAGGTTAACGCAGAATGGGCCTGATTTCATGAGAGCAGCAGTTAACCTATTAGTGAATGTCCTTTCGTTCACTCATACTATCCAAGAAGCCGACGAATCAGTGACACAGGAAATATCGAGGACATGGTATTTTTCTGTCACTATTCCGGACAGTGAAATCAAGAGTCTATTGTCATTAATTCCCAAAAATGTTGGCAGTGTTAGAGCAACTGGTACTATTGAAATATCGTCTCAACAGAGACCATCAGAGATGAGATCTTTAGTCGGTAGAATATGTTGGCTACCTATTGGTATTACGTTATTCTGGTGGAGATTCTGGACCGGTTTGTTGTTGCAGTTGTTGGGAATTATGGGAAAGAGCAAATGAGAATATAGTCCTCTTGGGTGGAGATAGTCATAATGACTATTTACCGGTTATTAATTGCTAGTTCGCTTGTAATTTCAATTCTGTATTGTTCAGTAAATTAATCAATCAGTTTAAGCTTTTACCGAAATAGATTATTTATCAATAATGAACTAAAGTACCTGATTGTATCAGATTGTGCATTTTAATAAACTAGATCGCGTATAAAATCAATGCATCATATTTTTGTTATGCAGTGGAGCTCATATCCGTGTAAAATCTCCATAGCTCAAGCCTCATTACAAGATGTGGTTTGGAGGCTAATAAAATAACAGCGTGTAGGCATACACGCTCAACTATGCGCATACAGATAGTTAAAGATCGTTGATAATTCGCGTCCGCTGATTCAGTTTACTTAAAAATTGCACTTCCTATTGATGAAATGCGGATAAGACCTACCATTCATTTTATTTAAGCGAGTGAAACTGTTTATTTCATTCTTTCTAAGGTATTGCAAATGGCACAAGTCTCAAATTCATCAATTGTAATAGATGTTGCAAATTAATCTTGAAAAACACGACTTTTATAAAATAATCAGCTACTATATACCGGAATTATCCCATATTAATATTCTACTATTACAGCTTCTGGCCTGCAGACCCAAGAAGTTGCCCACATGCAGATTACTATAGCCAATTGGTTGCCACCCCCTCATCTTAGCATTCTGAACCCTGAAGCCTTCCATATTTCAGAAAAAAGGTTGTAATGTCTAAACGGAAGAGAAGAAATTAATAATAATCTATAAAATCTTTGTAATAGTACGCTTGTCGTATTCAATACTGTTTAACAAAGGGCGGAATTTTGAAGATGTCAAACTAATTATTTGAAAAATTTTGACCATTTGTTTCTAAGAGAGATTTTCTGAGGGCAAACCACAAAGTAATACTCATTTGCAACAATGTTGATACAGAGCTTGTTTCCCTCAATAATAATACTGTTTTGACATTTTACATAAACTACAAGTAATTTTCAGTCAAACGCATATATTCCAAAAAGAATAATACAACAAGAATTATGACATTAAGATAATACTTTTTTACACTACGTCTATTAAGACCAGGAAATGTTACTGCCGCATGATAAAATGGTTTGGCTTCAAAGATCAGCCCCAGCCCCAAAGTCGTGACCAAACACCTTTCTCAGCACTTGTACTGTCATCTTCCATTGGAATGGGATTTGGTAATGGCTTTTTCATCTCTATTGTTGATTTCCTTGGCATGCCATTAACCACATTCAGTTTCTTATATCCGAATGTAGGATCATTCTCAGGAACTGGTGGCAATTTGATCACTTGAGTTTCCTTTTGTTGTAGCCTATAAAAAAATGTAATAGAAAATTGGAAATTAGTCCAAACAACATATGCGGCTGTAAAACTCCAAGAAAACGATACCTGTGTATATAAATTACAACACAAATTCAGGAATACTGCTCACTTACTCTCTCAAGTCGGTGTCACTACCCGTAGCTGACACAAAACTGCTCTGAGTGCTTGTAGTTCCTGACAGTCCAGGAACTTTCGTGGATGAATCTGCAACCGGCGGAGCAGCAGTCGATGTTCCAGCGTCCGTTCCCATCATCGTGTCCCTGAACGGTCGCGTCGCTTCACAAGGGCAAAAATCATTGTAAACGTCAATGTTCGAACTATATAAACATTCAATCTACGACATACCACTTTTCACTTTCATTAACACTTACTTGTTTCCTGGGCAAATCCAAAACCCCCAGATGGAGACCCAAACCCACCAGATGGAGACCCAAACCCACCAGATGGAGACCCAAAACCACCAAATGGAGATCCAATATTTCCCATCGGTGTACCAAATCTATTGATTGTTCCAGTACTGCTATCTATTCTTCCAAACATAGTGTCACCAAACCCTCCACCGACACCAGCGCCAAAGGTCATATCGTTTTGTTCGCCTGCCAAGTCGTCCCTATAATTTCCATCACCCATTGTTCTTCGACGAGAGTCTTCTTTTGCTGCTTCTAGGAGGTCATCTAATGTCTCTTGTGGTAATTCGTCTCCGTCTGAACGTCGTAATCGTGATTGAGGACGCCAGGATAGTGTGTTTCGACGTGCCTTTTCTTGCCGTGAGGCCTGAAATATGAAATGACGATGAGTACATATGGTATCATTGATATACGCAAGCCATGAGATCAGATGAGAAAAACGAACGCAACAAAATATAAACATACCCGGGCCGCATTGAGTATTACTGGTTCATGATACCTCTTCTCGCGTGGCCCTACATCTTCGACTACTGGCGCAACGTTCCTATTACAGATTATAATATGCCCGCAGTTAGGGCAACTATGTTGTAATTTTGTGTTATCGGTTATCATAACATTTTGCGGTTGTGTGTTGAAGCTAGACGGTATAAATGGTTGTGGTGGCTGTGTAGGCGGTCGCGATTGTGGACTGAATGGATTCTGTATTGAAGGTTGATATGGAGGAACAAAGTATGATCTGTCGGAGTATAAAGGTGGACGTGTCTGACTAGGAATAGGTGGATCGTTCCCACGAGGAGGGGTAGGCCGGGCTGTGGGGTGTGATGATTGTGATGGATTTGTCGGTTCACGGAACGTTTCTATGTCGAACTTTACGGGAGCCACGGACATTTTAATTAACGAGACATCAAAATAAAATTCTGACATAGCAAAAATAGTGAATTACAAGAAAGGAAACATGGTAACACAATGCATTATTATGGCACAAACATAGCATTTGGCTATTACAGTATTAGTGAATCTTTAAGCCTGAGTATTAATATAGTGATTAATGACGAATAGCCGATTTCGCGTTTATAAGCAGAATATATTCGGCATGATTATATTGTCAAGAAATACCACACATGATTTTAGTTATCAGGCTAAGAGGATTCGTGCAGCAAGCGAAGCGACACGAGCATAACGCATGCATTAGTAGCTCGAAAACTTTGTTAATATATGTCCAATGAAAACACCAATGAGAATTACGATAAAATCGCTCACAAACGCCCGAGCCCCTCGAGTACGGCCCTGTGCAAGCCATATTCATGGCCTTGCGTAAACCCCTGATTAAATGCCGCCATAGTTCGAGGTTGATACATCTCCACGTTCTCGACAAAGTCTGCCTCATGGGTGAGGATGATATTCTCCCTCGATTTCCTGGCCAAAACGTAGGCATCGTTACTGATTAACGGGGCTACCAGGATGCCTACGGAACTGAATCGAGGGATGTCAGAGAGTAGTATTCTCTTCATTGCACGGACTGCTTCGAGGTCTATTATTGCAGATTATATCGATAGTGTAATGTCGAAGATTATGACAGTTTAGTAAACACGTATTGCTTTATACTTGTGTCCAATAAGAATATTAGCTTCTCAATTTCCATGCTATTTTATATTTATATTCATAACTATCATACTTACCGAACACTGGACGACATGACATACACCGGAACGGCAAAATACCATGTCGACCCCAGGGGGACTAATAAAATAAAATAAAATGAGTACTGTGTTGTCATAGTCAAGAACCATTGAAGAACGTGCCGTCTATCCCGTACGCCAGGGCTGGAAACCTGATGGTAACTTTTGCAAGCTGCGGCCACGAAGCGCTTTCCCACGCCCGCGATTTCAGCTGGCAGCTTGTCGATAACGAAGCTTCGATTTATTTACGCGTCTATACGCTTTTGAAAACTCCGATTTACACCTAATGACAGGGTAACTTCGGATAACAACTAACGATTCAACACGTAGTGAAAGAAGTCTCACCTTCCAAAGGGCATACAATTCAAATCTCGATGTATAATTTCTTCAATATCTTCCACAAGCGTCATTTCTTCAAATAAGATAAGTTTAATAACATTCTTTAATAAAGTAAAATCTACAACAAGTTGCAACCTTAGGGAGATAACAAGGAAGAAAAGTTGGATGAATTCATCTCGGAATGAATCTTATTTATAGGTGTGGTAAAATTTTCGAATGATTGGTGATTTGTTACCTGATTTAAAATAACGAATACTCAGAAGACTCCCCCTTTTTTGTTCGTATCCTAGACCAATTGCCGACATCCTATAAAACATATTGCACGAAAAAGTGTAGAGAATTCTTGTTTGTAGCGAATTTTTTCTAATCAACGAGATCATTTCTATTAAATTTAGAACAAATGACAACAAAAAAGTTGTACCACGAAGCGCTTTCAATTCGAATGGTCAAATTATCCTATTCACTATAGCACGTCAATGACAACTGATAGTAGCGATAAAAATCGATTTCGCGTTTTTGAATGGTAGACAAATCGTTATAATTAGAAGTAGACTCAAATAATACTTATTATTCCGCATTGATATTTTACATACACATCAACAATAATTACTGCCCTAACGATCTGAACGCATGTTATAGATAATAATAACAACGCGTCAGATTTTTTTGAAGATTGAAAGCTTGTACTATAAAGCACAATTCATGGTGAAAAGGCTGATTCAACTGTTTCAAAGTCTGCGGTTTAATGAACTCATAATTTATGATAAACCCGAGAATTTATTAAGTGGCATAACCTAATTCAGATTCGCCTTAACAAATTTTTCCAACATCAACATTGTAACAATTATCCTGTAAAACAAACAACAAACTATCCAAAAATGCTTGCTTTTATTATTGAATTCTTTGTGGGTTGTTGATCTTGGTCCTTAAATTTATTATAAGACGTTTATTCAACTCTGCAATATAAATCAAAATCTTGACGCATTCAAAGTCAAAATCTATTAAACTGTGAATACATTGGAAATGTAGCAGAAAAGACTGCAATGAAATACAAATAGAAAAAACCGTGCAATTACAATGCAGATATGGAGGGTGTGCATCTATGGAGGGTTGACTGTATGTTGTTTATAAAAAACAAATGACAAACAAACGCCTATTTTAAGACTTAATTATTGTAATTTGCGACTCACATAATAATGGCATATAAAGAAGAGATAAAATAAACTCTGCTCTGCCTTTTTGATCCAATAAGTGCAAGTTACATAAGTGTAACACAAGGAATAAGAATTTTCTCCGAGAATATTTGTTTGAAAACCCGGTTTTACTCAAACCATGTCATTAGTTCCAGACGATAATTATAATATAGCACTTGACAACTTGATTCAATCCTCCTTAAACAGTGAACATAAACTTAAATGGATTCCTTATTCGAAAACCACTCTCATAAAGTCAAGCCAAATTGACTCTATTCATTACGCTATAGATTATGAAACGAAGACAACGCTAGTATTCCTTGGTAGTAGCGAAGTGAGTGAGTTTGCCAGAATATACTCACTTCCGACACACAAGTGCAATGATGATGTCAGTCACTTTAGACGATATTCCTATTGGCTTAAGAGACGCAACGATTTCATAAGGGGATTCACCACTTCTAATGACATCTATTACATGGTTGCTGATGAACGCTTTCATCATTGCTATTCTCGCTATGGATTCTGCACTGTATGTGGGATACTCCGATGTAGTCCTGTGTGGTGCATCTGCGGACATAAAGAATTATCTGATGGATGGACTAGCAACAATAAGCAACTCGATGAGTTTATTAAGAAATCTCAATTACAAACAAACTCACCAAATCATGCCTATTTGGAATGGATTCCATTTGATTGTATTGATTGTAGTCAGAGGATGTATGGATATGTATACTTATATGATTTACCTACACATGTATATGTTAAATTGATTCCACTTGAGATAACAGACGAGACACATGATTTATATTATGCCGAGGTAAACAATTTACTTATGCGTCATGTTTATTGGATAGTTTAAATAATTATTGACTTTTATGTATCATTTCCACTAGTTATGTGATGAGCATCCAGATATTCTTACTACAGATGCTTGGATTACCATTGGATTCACATATGATGCAAGCGAACAAAAGTATTGTCTCATAAAAGTTGACAATGGATTATGTCTGGCATGTACAAAGCGATTAGAACCTGAGATAAATGCATTCTGCTATTGGTGTAAAGCACCACGGCCTCTTGATTGGACTACAGGCAACAAGTCATTGGATTCGTTTATTATGGAGTCGTGGAAGAATACAAGTAGCAAAGATAATGCCTATATACAATGGATTGAATACTCACTATTGACAAACATACAAGAGATGACATCATTACACCATGGATGCACA